AAATGTACAAAGTTGTTATGGCAACTGAAACACTGAAGTAAAAATTATAGATCCCAAATTCTTACAAATAAAAGTAAATTAATTTCCAAGGTAATTGGAATTTCTTTCAAAAATTATTTATCACAGCATCATCTTTCATAGTTCCAACAGAATTGATTTGATGGCGTTCTAATGAAATTTAATTAATCAAGAGGAAGGTTTTAGTAGCTTATGAATTACTATCATCTTGATATTTAACTTCTAATCATCAGTTACACTTGCTGCACCATTCCAGTTTTTTCCATTCGTATGCTTTTATTGGGCATACATGTTTTGCACCTGAGCAATTAGATTGTGATTACTCTAATGTATTGCTTTATTGTAGCTCACGCTTTCACCTAATCCATTGAATCCTACTTAATACATGCCTGCCTTACTTGGGAAAAATTCTTTTTTATTCTAGTGATATTTGGCAATACTTTAATTGAGGTCTTCTGATGTGTCTTGAAAACCCTGTCCTCAATAGGGCAACAAGCATTACTGCAGTAACAGCATTAATAATCATTGTGTTTTTTTCAAACAGTTTGCTAAGCTGGGTGCATGTAAGGTACTGGATTCCTTAGGAAATTTACCCTAGGAATTACAAAGCTCTATGCCTGCATTTTTCATGGGAATTGTGACTGTGCTGGGACACTTTCTTGAATCTCAGGAATTTTACTGAAGCCAGAGAATGGTGAAATCAGGTGGTGAAGTTATTGTGCTCTGTCAGAACACGGTTTTCATTCAGTAGAATCAGAGTAGCCATGATGGAAATGAGTATTTTTTTACAAGAGACTGGACCAACAGGCAGAAAAGTTATTTCTGTCTTTTCCTAAAAATCCACAGAGAGGCTTATAGTTCACCAACTGAAGCAGTGCCTTTGCTGAATACATATAGAGCTTGTGCATAGCTCCCATATTACTCTAGTAGAATTTGCATAATTTCTAGAGTAATTTCTATAATTTTTATAACATTATAGGATTTGGGACTGGGCAATATCCCAAGAGTTTATGGAATCTCTAGCTCTAATCCTGATGTTTCACTAATTTCTTGCTCTACTGAGGGGGAGTAAACAACCTCAATATCTTGTAGCATTACCACCACAGAATCACAAAATGGTTGAGGTTGGAAGGGACCTCTGGAGGTCATTTTGTCTGAGCCCCCTACTGAAGCAGAGCCACCAAGAACTAGTCAACCAGGATCATTTCCAGACAGCTTTTGAATATCTCTAAGGATGGAGTCTCTACAACCTCTCTGGGCAATCTGTGCCAGTGCTCGGTCACCCTCACAGTAAAAAAATGTTTCCTGATGTTCAGAGGGAATCTCCTGTGTTTCAGTTTATGACCTTTGGCTCTGGTCCTGTCACTGGGCACCACTGAAAACAACCTGGCTTAATCTTTTTTGCACACTCCCTTCAGGTATTTATATGCATTGGTAAGATCCCTCCGAACCTTCTCTTCTCCAGGCTTGAACAGCCCCAGCTCCCTCATCCTTTCCCCTTAGGAGAGATGTTCTCATCCCTTCCTTACCTTCATGGCCCTTTGCTGGATTCTCTCGTTTGTCTGTGTCTCTCTCATACTGAGGAGCCCAGAACTGGACACAGTACTCCAGGTGTGACCTCACCAGTGCTGAAGAGAAGGAATCAGAGAATTGCGCAGCTGTGTCTTTTAAGTTTATTGATCTCTTTGAAGATAAAAGCCTTTTGTTGTACTTTTTAGCTTTACTTTTTCCAGAGAAAAGCCCAATTCTTTCAATCTTTCTTTACTGGTTACATTTTCAAAGCAGCGTATGAGTCATCTTTGCCCTTTTTCAAATTCATTTTTAGTGCGTGTGTAAAGATGCATATAACATCCAAAATTAGAAACCATATTCTACCAGAGGTTCCACCAGTGTCAGGTTCATCAAAATAATTAGCTTCATGTCTTCTATTTTCCAGTTCTGAATACAGCCTAGAATTAGGTTTTTTTCTTTTGCAGCAACACTGCATTCTTGTTTTAATTCCCCAGAATTTCCCAAGCCTTTTATTCAATATTTGAAAGTTATTCTCCATTGTGGCTTTGCACCTTTGTTGGTTTTTTTTTTTGTTTTGCTGTTGTTTGGTGTGGGTTTTTTTCTTCTCTAGGAGTACTTTCTGCAATTGGTCATGGGTATTTCATCATGTTGATTTCTGAACATTGCTTCCATCAGTCGGTATCCTCACCCTTCCTTCTGTGTTATCTGCAAAATTTTATGTGTTTGTTATTAGACCACATAGGTGTTAATGAAAATATTGACTGTGGACCCATCATATCTTTGTGATACATATTTAAAAATATTTTCTTGTTTGATAATTATTTTTGAAAATGGATTTTTCTAATTGGATATGTGCTCCCATTCCTCATTACAATGATTTTATCTGCAGTTTTCTTTTTTACATTGAGACAATGTCAACTAGAACGGTGTAACAGTCAACAAAGGTCAAAATATGCTACACTTTCTCCTGTCTTTATCCACTAAACCAGTTACCCTATAAAAGAAGTAAATTACATTAGTTTGACATGATTTGGTTTTGTCAAATCCATAGTGGCTGTTTGCTATCATTTTAATTATCTCCAAGGTGCTTATAACTGGATAGCTTAATTGTTTGTTATCTTTGTGGTTATGAAAATTAATTCTGTAACTCCCTGGGCTCTATTTTGCTAGTTTATATATGTGGTTATATATATACACACATATATATATATGTGTATATATAGATGTGTGTGTGTGTGTGTGTGTATATATATTTAAAAATATATTCAAAATGTTCCCTTTTCCATAGTCATCTGGAATCACCCTCATCCTCTGTGAGGTCTAAAAGATGATGATTAATATTTCAGAGATTTTGGTTTATACTTACAAGAGAATTTCATTATTCTGTTCTGCACTGAACTCAAACAACCATCTCCTTTCTTCTTTCCTGTCTATTCTGCCTGATAGCTAACATGAATGAAGAAAATTTCATTTCTTCTGTAGCAAATACTTCTCTTGAGGCAGGAGTGAATTTTTGACAGGACTTTGCTCCTTAGACTTAAACATATTTGTTGATAAATGAGTTAATAAAAGAAATGTAATCATTTTGTAAAGTTTTGTGGTGTCTAAAGAAGCATTCACAGAGGTAGATAGCTGCATAAGCACATGGTGAAGTCTGCCTTATGTTAGTACCTTGTATGGAGAAAAAAAAAAGATTTTAAATAAAAAAGTGCAAGTATTTAGCATGCAAAAGACACTTCATGCCTGTCAGCAAAGCCAGCCATATTGAAGCAAGCATTGTGGAAAAAGCATGAGACCACCTAAGTAGTTGCTTTCCTGGGTAAGTAACTACAAGTGAATAAGATTATATGGTGACAGCAGCTTTCAGGATCCAGCTGAACCAGAAAAAGGAATCAAACCTGTAGGTCTCAAGGGGAGAAGTGGGACCACACACCTATGTGCACATACAGCCAGTGGACTCAGCTACATTTTTTCATTTTTGTGTATTGTCTCTACTTCTGAGCTATGGATACATTTAGAAGGAAAGAACATAGATGATCCAAGTCCTTTAATCTCAGAGCATTACAAGAAAAGTGTAAGACATACAAACTAAAAAGCCCATGTTTCTGTTTAATTAAGTGCACTTCTGATGGTGAGGTTTACTGTGACCACAGATTGCTCAGTTATTATAATACGTGTTGCATGGTCAATAGCTATAGATGTCTACATCTCTGTGCTATGGCTGAGAAGCAAAGACACCAGAAAGGAAAGAAGGAAATCACTCTACACCTTTAGTCTCTGCAACTGGTTTTCAGCCTCTTTGGTAGACTTTAGAGCTCTACATCCATCTACCAGAGAAGGTGCTTTAGTGTGATGATGATTTCTCTGTGCTGCAGAGAATCCAACATTTCCTCACTTCTGGTCTACCCTAGTTCCACTTTGAACCTGGTATTAAGGACAAGAGAAATGACTCTGCACAGCAGAATGCTTTTAACAAAACTGTACCATTCCTGCTGTGTCTGGATTTGGACAAAACTGAGGGCAAAACAAAAGGAATGAATTAGTTTGGAAAATGCTACTAAATCTTGGAAAATGAACTCTGTGCAGTATAAACTGCACAAGATTGTTGGCTTCAGAATCAACCTTAAATTCTTTGGCAAGTAAGCCACGTAAGCCTGATACAAACCACAAATATAGTTGACTTTTGCCCAAACAGAGTCCTTATCCTTTCTAATTTGTTGCTGGATGTCATACTTACCATTTTGTTTTGGAAATAAATATTCTGACTGAAAATGTTGGCTGCTTTGAAAGTGTAGCTTGGTTTTTAAAGCAATGAAATTTCCTTTTTTTTTTTTAAATAAAAAAGGTAATTTACTTAGCGGCTGGTTTTTGTTATACATTGGACTATCTGAAATGGAGACTCAGAGTTCTTCAGCATAATGTGCAGATGCAGTGTATTCCTTAGAAATGAATACTGTTTCGTGATACTACTGTGAGTTTAAACAATAGGAAATTGCCATCTGAAATCTGTAGAAGTTAAAAAAACCACAAACAAACAAACAACAAAAACAACTGAAGAAGTTGCACTAGAGTTATAAGAAATGAGTGACAGATTTGGAAACTGAATCTGGTGATCCTGGGTTCTGCTCCTGGATCTGAGCTCCCCATCAAAATCTGAGATCTCTGTATGTTTCATATAACAAGATAATAGATAAAAATGTTGGGTTTAAAAGCATTTCCCATTAAATTTCTGGATAGTTTGCTGGGGAAAAAAAAAATAAAGCTCTAATCTGTGAACTATATTTTTACTTTGTAAAGTTTCATAGACAGTTATGAACTAGACATATGAAGAGGAATAAAAGAAAAATTAACCAGGAACCTTTTAGTAGGGAGCCATGAATGTGGAAAGGAAAAGATAGAACTTAAAGTTTGAATGTAAGTTGTATGATATTTCTTTGCAGTAAGGTTTTCCTTTTGATCCTTTTGTTCAGAGTCTTTGGACATATTAGTTACCGTTCGGACTGGGAACTGGTGAAGGTGGACTTCAGACCATCCTTCCCCAGGGAGTGCACGGATGATGACTATGAGTCTTGGGAGCTCACAAATCTACAGGTATGCATGATCTTATGTTAAGTGCCACAACTTTTCTGTAGCTTTCAGATTCATGTAAAACTGTGTGCTGGGAAAATGTTTTCAAACAGAATTTGGATGCTGCGTCCCCAGCTTTGATCTCCTTAGGTTAGTATTTGCTGATTTTACAATAGTTTTAAAATGGGAGAGGATTTTGTGTTACTTCTGGTTGTGTGATCTGTGTCCTGCAAAAGGCAGAAGTACATCTGGTGGTCTGCTACAATAATAGGTGGTCCTGCTGGATTGTGAAGCATATACCATAAACTGTGTAATATTGATTGAAGCAATTTCAACATGCACTTTATGTGTTCTGCCAACTTCCTGACCACATACTGTACTCATATATAAATTGTCATAAGTAAAGCCCATTCCAGAAGTAATTTAGGATCTCAGTGGACCAATCACGTAATGGCGTCCAGTTGTTTTGGGCAATACCATTTCTGCAGTAATGCATTAAGGCTGTGCTAATCCTGGTGCTCTGGCCAAATCCAATTTTGGGAAGCTACATTCTCTATACAATGTATTGATTAAAGAGACCAATGTGAGGGGTTTTTTTACATTAAAGGGAATATGTCATATTTATTCATAATTATTCTGATTATTATGTTTTACTTCTTCCAGTGCATTTGTTCCCTCACTCTCTGCAGGGTTGGGTTTTTTTTCGCATACTACTCTATGTTACTTCAGCTCTCCGGCTCACATTTGCTAGTTCTCATGCCTAATTTTACATTTCTTGTTTGGGAATGCTGTGCATTTACAAAGAATGTTATGCAGATCTGAGCCTAAAGAATAACAGTCTCTTTGGATATTGGCATTGAAATGCCTTTCAGAAATTAGAAACTACTAAAATGACTTTGACAGAGTACTTGCAGCTGCCCAATTACCAGTGGAGTGTGTTCAGATAGTCTTTGTTCTACTTGTGTCCACATGGTTGGTGCTTTGTGTTGACTGCTGACAAGAGACATGGTGATTCAGATAGAACTTCAGACATCTGCATCCACACAGAAGTTGTAGGGTTGTGCCTAGATTGTGCACAGATGAAACATGGGTTAAATTGCACTTGAATTTTCATGTACATCTTTGGATTTATGCCCTGAAATACAGCATATGCTGCAACTGTCTAAGAGTCCATTAATGGGCAGCTGTAGATGTGAGAGTTTTCTATGCCTATGCCTTTGAGTATGAGAGAGTTCATACAAGTTTACAGTCTTGTAAGTTTTGGCAGCAAGATCATCCTTTCTCAGTACAACGTAAGGTCACATCTGTGTGGTGTAGGTTATGGCGTGCATTAAGTCTAGTGCTTTGATGTTCAGGGTGATCGTTGCATCATGGGCCAGCAGAGGAGCTTTCGAAAGAGGAAGGTTTCATCATGGTGCATTAAAGGGAGAAGCTTCACGTCAGCTCTCACATCCAAAGTTTGTGAATGTGTGAACTCTGATTTCTTATGGTGAGTCTGTCTGTGGACCTTTTGATTTATTGCTAGTAACTGGTTACTTAGAATTTAAGATGGATTTATTCTCCTCCTTTTGCCCATCTCCTCAGGTAGCTGTGTATAAGCAAATAGGCAGGTTGCTTTTGCATTTGCCTTTGTGTAAAAACATAGTCATGTTTTAAGTATTTGCTTCCCCAACTGAACAAATCTTGATGTTTTTCTGTGTTGATCAGGACTTAAAAAATGACCATTGGATTGATTCATAAGGCAAGCAAACCCTTTCTATTTGCAAATGAAGCAAAAAAACCCCAGAAGAAATGTGTTGGTCTGAGTAACAAAATAAACGTTTTAAAAATCTAAGCTATCAAGAGAGTTAATTTGCAGAACTGACAAAGTAATTACAACCAGTTTTTCCCAAGAGTACACAACTCCCATTGAAATTAGACTTAGAACAGAACTGGCTTCATCAGCTTGTATGTTCAACTGGTAGAATAACACTAAAAAAAATCTTTTTACTCTTAAAAACATCATCTCATCCACCCCAAATTAGACTGCTGAATGAAGTGGGGATAGTAACATACTTGGTGTTGATATTTTTCAGTGATTATGGGTTTGAGCGCTCTGTACCTCTGAAGTCGGAGTCTAGCAAATGCTTTGCTGACTTTTGGTTTAACCCAGAAGCACCTCCTGAGGACTGCGTGCTGGGGCAGGCATACACCAGCAGCACTGGGTAAGCTGATTTTGCTTTCAGCTGGCTTGCAAAGGCTTCCAGAGAGGAGGAGAACATTCTGACCAAGGGCCACAAAAGTGGTTTGAAGGAGCTGTAGGCAAACTGTAAAAACTGGGAAATGTAAAAGTTCTGACTCTGACTTAGAGCACGTGCAGGAGCTTTCTACTGACTAATGACAGAGAAATTGTAACTTTTTATGTTCACAGGAGGTCAAAAACGAATCCGTTTGAGAAGAGGGGGAGCTGTCCTGTTTGTGGGTTTTTTGTTTTGTTTTGGTTTTTTTTTTGGTAATGTTTTGTAGCCATTGTTACACTTCTTGTAGGAAATTCCATTCAGAGCTTTTTCTTTTAGCCCATTGCTTGGAGTCAGACCCAATTTTCAGATTGAATCCAATGAATTACTCTGAGGAGCCAGTAACATCCCACAGAACTTCCCAGCCTTTCACTTCCATAGGGGTAAGGAGTTCTGTGGAGAATAGATTCTTTTCCTGACCATATGGGACACTCAGAATCAAAGGAAAGCACTAGTAACTGTAAACAATACCGCATAGAATATACATTACAATATAGTCTGACGTCTGTGCTGAGAATAACTTGCAGCTGGCATCTATTCTGGCTTATCATAACATCATCTCTGTCGGCTGTGGAGATGAGAACCAAATGATGAAATGTCAAATCTGGCACTAGAATCATGGTCTCTGTGTATATTTGCCTTACCGAGGAAAATGATGCCTTTTGGACTGCGGCTGACAGCTGTGATATACAGAATAGGAATTCAAAAGGGTGAAATCTGACTCTGATTTTAAAGGGTGTTTAGAAATAACATACCTGAGTGAAACTGATCTATAAATAAATCTGTACACATCCAAGTATTTCATTATTAGTTCTTTAAAAGTGTTAGGCCTTTCAATCTTTTATACTGTTACGTTAAATAAATAGTTTCAGTGTTTTAATAAATACATGGATTTGAGAACAGCAGTTAAGCAATTGGTTCTGGGTTAATGCAGAAGCTGCTGGATCTAATTTCTTCCTGATCTTTGGGGTTAGAACCAAGACCTCTAGAACACTGAAGACTGTTGAATACTAGGAAGGGGTATGACAGAGAGGACAGGAGAGTGTCTAGCTCCTGGAGGGCTGGTCAGGAATGTTTCTAAATTTGAAAAGGCAGTCTCTTGCAGTGCATGCAAGTGAAATTCTTCTCGTGCTTTACATCCTTTCTTCAACAGGTTTTACTCAGTAAAGGCAATGTCCCTCATTAAAGTTTTTAGATCATGCAAATGGTTTTGAGCATCTGCGATCTTGTCTGTGAACCAAATGAATGTTTATTAGCTACCATCACACTTTCGTTTGGTGCCCCTGATGGCATTCTTCTGCTCACCTCCGATTCACTGTGCTCACTGCTTGCTGTTTTTGCAGATACAGGAAAGTTGTTTCTAATGTGTGTGAAGGTGGCGTAGACCTGCAGCAGAATTTAGCACAGCATATGTGTCCATTGATTGCTCCCAAGGGACTTCAGATCAGCATCAAAGAAGAAAGCCTGGCTGTTAAGCCTGGGGAAGACATCACCTTCGTTGTCAGACAAGAGCAGGTAGTAATGAACATTGGCTTTATGGAAGTTTCCTTTCTATTTTTAGTGTTCATTTCACTCCTACCTGCTTTGCTGCTGACTGAAGATTTGTGCTTGAGACAAAGATGAATTACTCTCTAAATATTGAAAATTCTGTTTTCAAGTGAATTGGACAATCTAGTAAGCTCAGTGAACCACCAAGTTCTGCCCAGAGAATGGAATTTGTCTTCTCAGCAGTTTAGCCAGTCATTATTTCTTAAAGGCAATGGCTTCTTGGAAAATCGAAGGAACTAAATTACAAAGGTCTGCTTGGACTGAAAATTTCAGGTGCTGTATCAGAGAAGAACAGAAATGCAGAGAACATTTAATATTCTGGTTTAAGTGTTTTTGAGAATCTGCCTTTCATACAGGAATGAGGCAAACCTTTCTAGAAATCAGCAAATACCACAGCATAATAACATTTATTATATCTTAGTTGTATCACCAAAGGTATGTTTTCTTCTGTTTATTGAGAAAGACCATGCCCTAAGGCCCTGACCAACAGCAGCGAGTAACTTTTGGATGAATTGTTTGCCATGCATATGTTTCCTAATGCTTGTTTTTTAGCATTAGGCTACAACTGCTGTGTTCAGGTTACTGGAGTATTGTACTTCCTGGCTAACCCCACTGATTTGCAAGAACTTGAAGAAAGTTCACACATTTTGGCAAACCTGTGCAATATAAATCAGATGCTTGGGATTTAATTCTGTAATGGAATCAAGAAGGTTATGTGCAGAACACTGGGCTGCTTAACGCTTCACAGACTCTGCACCCCGATGCTTGCAGTGCCCCAGCAGTTTATGTGGCAAGTTACGCTGCCTTCTCTTTTTATAATTTGTTTAGAAATGTTTATTGTAAGACTAGAGCATTTGGTTGCAATTTGAACTCTAATGATTTTCATTGGCAGTTTTACTTTTCTTTCCTACTGAAGCTTTCATGAATATCTGTGGCAATACGTAAAACATTTAAAACGATTCAAAAATCTTCAGAAGTGAAGGGTCTTGAAGGGAATCCCGTGCTGTGTTTTCTGATGAAGTCTTTGCTCGGTTCATTGAAGTGGAAGGCAGATTTAGAAGTGTAGCAGTTTGCTGCCCCCTATGGCTAAGAAGAATATTTATACTCAAATGTCCTGAGCGTTGTTTAGGACTTAATCTATACAACAAGGTCTAATAAGAATTCATAACAATTACTGTGTTTAAGAAACAGCTCTACTAGGATAAACCAAAACATGCCAATTTCTCTGCTGAACAAAATTAATTTACTAGTTTATGTGAACGCATGTTACTAGGTGCAGGAATGCCAGACATGAGGGAGTAAAGAAAGCAGGCCTCAGATATGTTTGGGCAGTTTGTAAGTGACCTTAAAAATACATATATATATATATATTTTGCAAATGTAATTGTAATGATTTTTTCCCAAATTCTGTTGGCTGAATGTATGAATAAATAATATCATGACAGTCATTTGTTTTCCATGGAAGTGGAAGCCTCAGTTCCTTTTAAATTTAGCTGCTTTTTCCCCGAATGTGACTTTTGTTATATGTCCACTGCTCTCTGTCTTTCCTGGTCAGAGAAACAGAAGTGCCTTAGTGTTTTGAAGACAACACTCTCATCTTTACACTAGGGAAGCTATTCGAATAAAACATTAAGAGAAGCTTGCATCTACTGGCTTTCAACACTGATTTCTGTCTCACATAAAAAGAAAAAAAAAAGCATGTATACTTGTTAACATAAGGAAGAGTGAACAAGAACTGTTTGCAAGCTAATGTCATCTAAAGAGATTCCACTTACTGGCATATTGCTGTCAAGAAGACATCTCTCTTGCTTTAAACTTTAATAACATATTATCTCCTCTGCTAAATTCTACCATCTGTTGTCAAAAGAAATATGTTATTTGGAAAAAAATATTCACAGTGAAGAAGCTTTCTAGGTCCTTTATGTGTGTTGAAATATGGTGTTTATGTATTTGATAACCTGTAGGGTTCCTTATTATGGGTATTCTTTTACATTATAAGCAATGCTTTTTCATCCGATAAAACATTGAAGAAAAAGCAACCAAACTGCAAAATAATAAAAGGAGGAAATAATAGTATGTTTTCCTTCCCTTTGTAATGCCAGGGTATGTAAGTTCCAGGCTTTGTTGCCTCCTTTGATTTCACATTAGTGCTGCTTTCTGGGTTTAGATTTTGATATAAAACTATTTCAGAGAGTGGCTTATGAGAAGTTAAGTGATTTTTGATGAGTGTCAATCCTTCTCTGATTTGATGGCCATTCAGGTCACCTGAGTAGCATATGGATGTATATGTTCCTTTCTTAGAGGCATATCTGTTTTCATGATGTGGAGGATTTTCTACCAAGCCTGGCCCTGCAACCTATTTTAATTGTATGACTGTCATGGCCGTGTGCTGTGGCAAGGGAGCAGGAACGTATTACTGAAGACCAGGGAAGCAGGACAGCTTGCTAAGACAGTGCTCCCAGTACTAGTGAGAAAGTGTTGCTGCTCACAACTTTGACTCCATCCCCATCACCAGCCCATGGAGCACAGGCCTGACCTCTCCCAAACAGCCACACTGTGACAACATGAGTGATGGGAATATGTTGATCCTCTGACAGTAGAATCACTCTTGCAGTATTTTAGGCCTGAGTTTGGGAAGACAGTGTCATTTAAAGGAGCACTTAGCAGAAGTGTAGTGAATTATAAATTCTGTGAGATGCTTGACATAACAGGATTATTTAGCTAGACTTTTAAACCCTTTCCTAAACTCAACTCAATAATCTGCTTCATTAAGCATGCATCTAATTTTGCAGTACAGCATGTTAGTTCTAGACATGCTGGTAGCTCTGTATAATGCAGTACAATCCTGTGCAAAGATCCCAGCTTGAATCTAGAAGGCGATATGGTTGACGCTCAGAGGGTGTGGTTCGAAGGTGCTCTGAAGAAGGTCTAAACCAATTAATTTTACTTTATAATTGCATAGGCCAGATATTCACTGGATTGACTGGTAATTCACTAAAATAACAATATTCAGTTGTTTGCAACTGAATGTGGTGTTGCCCTGCACCGTTCATTATGTTAGTTAATGTCCAGCTGAATTGAGACAAGAGTGACGGCTTCTGTGTCACACAACTTTGTTAGTGGTCTGGGGCACTTATTTTAAGATAGCGCCTTACTGTGGAAATTTGATATTGTATCTACTAATGCTCACAACATCTGTTGCACTAAAATCTTTGCCATGGGTATAGTGCTTTTATTGCAACTATTGCAATTAAGTCAAAATATCTGGCTTGGGCTGGAGATGCTGTTGTGATTCAGGAAATGGTTGTAATCATGTGTCCTGTCTATTTCAGTTCTGGCCATTTAAAATATTTTGGATCTGTTTTCCTTTTAGGGTGATACATTGAATACCAAATACCAGGTAGATCTTGGAGATGGCTTTAAGGCAATATATGTGAACCTTACGATGACTGGAGAACCCATCCGTCACCGCTATGAGAATCCAGGGATTTACCGTGTATCGGTGAAGGCTGAGAATGTGGCTGGGCATGATGAGGCTGTGGTGTTCATCCAAGTCAACTGTAAATCAGCTCTGTTTTTCTTACTTTTGCTGCTGTGTAAAAGCCTCATGACAACTGTGAAGTAGTAAAGAAAATTACTAATTAAAATTAGGGAAAATGCATATTTTTTCAATAATCTCATGCAATCTTGCAGTGCTGTATGTTAATGCAGAGACTTGTAAACCTAATGTATTAGGAAGTCAGAGTTAGGTTTTTTTTTTATTTGGGAGGATGGTGTATTAGTCATTACACAGCAAGCATACCTCAGTTCAAATCTCAGGTTTGATCCATATTCCTATCTCAATACCTCATTGGCAGTCTTAGCAGATAAAATTTAACACTTCAAGCTGTGTCTTCTTAGGAGCTTCTAGTTGCTGTGTGAAGCAAGTAAACAGGTGTGTTGAGAAATGTATGAGCTCTTGAATGATTTTAAAAAATAAAATCTCTGTGTTTCTATATGTCAGGCTACTTATTATAGTACTAGAATCAAGATCTGAGGTAGTTAATTCTCACAAAGTTTTAAAGTGGCACTTAGGTGTAACTTTATGTTGGCAGGCAGTATTACTTGACTTCTCTTCCTCTCCCTAATTAAGACCTAAAAACCCCCATCAAATAGATTTAAAAGAAAAGAATAGCATAGCACAAGGAATATCATGCACCATCGCAAACTTAATGTACCTCAGTTCTCTCATAATTGAAATGAAGAAGGATACTTATAAATGGAACTGAATTTTCCTCTTCTTTTGAGATTCAAGACAGCTATTGCTTTGTCTGTTTTCAGATGTGTCAAAAATTCAGAGACAAGTAACATCAAAAGAAAAGATACTCATCTTGCATTCTCCAGGTGTCTGTTCCCATCTGTTGTGAGTGGTGTGTCTTCCATCCTAATCCCAAATTGCAGGAGCCATATACAAGGCTATGCACAGATCCACGTGCTTTATGTCAGCCTGTCTAGTGACAGCTGATATTTATGTATTTTACTTGTCAGAGTCCTTGAGTCCAGAGTTTCCAGTTCTGCTTTGATTAGCAGATGGAGCCCAACCTATTGATGATAATGGCCTATCTCCTATTAAAATCAAATGGAAAGGATCAGAATCGAATTCTCCACCTCAGCTTCATTATCTCTGTTGTGTTTGGTTTTTATATCATTTGACATGTCCAGAGAGCTCAGATAAATTACTTAAGGCTTCACCATTACTTTTGTTTTTAGGAGCTTCTAGGTACTGAGAAGTAGATTAAACACAGGAAGAGTAGATATGTACAAGCAACAAACAGCAAAAAACTCTGTGTAACAACCTTCTCTCCAGGGAGAACAACTTCTTACTGTACAGAGAATGACAAGCAGTAGCAAGCCCTGATGGAAAGCGGAACAAGCGCTTTCTCAAAATGTGCTTCTGGTGTGGCCTACATCAGGATCAGGAGTAAAAATAAAATATGTTGATTGTGGTTTATGCAGTAGATTTACAAATTGCAGAAGCCAGAGTTAATTTTCACAAATAAAATGACACCAAAATAAGAGGGTTTTGGCATCAAAGTGCAGTGGCACAGAGCACTGAAAGCACATGTGGTCCATTTCTGAGCTTGTCCATGGATGCTGCACATGGTCTAAAAGACTCATGGAAGCGTATTACTCAGCCCACTTGAATAAATGCTTTCTATGTGATTTACTCTGTTTAATTTTTTAAAGTAAATTACAAGATCTGAGTAAATTAGCTGGCACTAATTAAACTGCTATTTCTACATTCTAGAGAAACACTAATAGCATTCACTTACATTTTTTTTACTGTGGAATACCATGAAAGCAGAAACATCTGTACAGTCCTGCTTTCACTCTATCTTCAGCTGGTGTATTCCCAGGGAATTTTTTCAGGAACAAACGATACAGGGAATATTTGGTACTCCTGCCAAGTTCTGTTGCTATGGGATGCTCTGCAATGTAGGACTATTACATGAACTTTGGCCTGTCATCCAGATTATGCTTTCTGATACACATCACACAATTTACAACTAGTCAATGAACTGTAAGAGAATTTACAGCAAATCTGGTAGTATAAATGTAGTAGGTAACGCAAAATTAAAAGAACTGAAGAAGAACTAGGCATATATATTCTTCATCATGAAACCATAATATCCATAGTGTGTGAATAGTCATGGAGCTTTGAAAACTGCTGAAGTTGTAGCTTCATTAAACAAGTAAGTCAGCTTCATTCCTTAGTGTACACACTTAAGGGTGCTATGTAGCTTGTTCAAATGCATTATGGAATTGTGTGACTGAAACAAGCAGAAGGACTCACAGTAATTACTTTTAGCTCTTTAATATATCGGAATGCCAAACTTGAAATAAGAGTAATCATTTAAGTACCAAACAACTTCTCTAAAAATTTTGGAAAAGAAACTAACCTTCTTCAGGAGAAAAAAACATATTTCAAAATGATCTGTTTCCTCTGGGAAAATGTAAATTTATGGCAAAATAAAAATAGTGATGCCAATCCCTCCAGACTTCTTTGATTTGCCTTGTCAGAAGGAAAATCTGTTTCTAGGAGGAACAAATTTAGCTGAATTCCTATAATTTCTGAATTTTCCTCAAGACACCAGCAACAGGAAGAACATTTTAACTCTGTTTTGGTAAAGAAGGTATTGAAGAAACCATTTGTTTAAAGACCCAACATATCTTGAATTCATCTGGGTGATTAAAGAGTTATTGGAGAAAGCAAAGTGAAAGTGCTTTGGATGAAGCAGCAGGCAGGATGGTTGAAGGGAGGTGGAAAAGGAGGGTGCGCACAGCTCAAACAACTTGGTCTCAAGTTCAATCAGTTTAGTCGAAGTGAATTAGCAGTGACTGAGCAATGATTCAGTTCATGAGAGGAAGAGAAAGACTTTGGATCGGTGTTAATTACCTTTAAGTTTGCACTGAGCTGAAAGACTTTTGAATTAGTTAAAAGATATTTAAAATGAAACCAAAATGGATGGGTTAGTATTCATTCTGTGTAACCAATGCCTATTGGACCATACAATGGTTTGATATCCTGGATAGATGGTGCAGCAAGTTAAGAAATTCTAGTTATCACATTATACTATTATAAAGCTTACCTTCAGACATTCTGAAAAAGATATACTGGGAAATCTCCAAGGGAAAGATTTTCTATTAGTAAGGTTATTGTACTATGAAGCAAAATACAACATTAAGAAGCAGATAAAATCTCCAAAATGATGCATTTCTTTTATACAAGTAATAATGTTTACAGCATCCATAGGCAAAAGTTCAGAAAGGAATAAACTTACTCTAAGGCGCATTTTGAGGTACAGAGGTTATCTATTTTTATTTGCAAATAAATGCTCCACTGATATACATATACACTGATATACACGCATTAATGAGAGTTTGTGTGGTGTGAGCCTAACAGCTGATATTTTATTATAGAATTACTAGTCAGCAACATTCTTTTCCAGTTTTTTGCTTCTCCCTAAATGGTTTGAGATTTTTCAGATTTCTATTAGTTTGTAGTTTTTATTACTTTTTTAAAAAAAAAAAAAAAGGAAGCTGAGATTATCTTTTCCATATTTTAACCTAGAATATTTACTTATGTTTTCTAGAACTGGACATGAACAAAAAAAAAAAAAAAAAGCATCAGAGGTGTATTGGTGTATTTTGGTCATTGGTCTCATTGCTCTAGGATTTTCTTTGTGGGTTTTTTGAAGGCTTTTTTTGGGTTGAAATGAGGTCCATTCAATTATGCCCATAGCTTTCAGTGCAGACATAAAAGCATGAGGGAGGGAAGAATCAATTCAGGACATTATGGTGTGCAGGTGAGAGGCTTTTGGGGAAAGAAGCAATCAATAAATTGAATTCTTGTCCAATGATGTTTTTGGAACTTTTATTCAGCTCCATTGCAGGCTTTAAATTTAGAAGTGGTTCCAGTTGTTGGGAGAAACCAGGAGGTCAACCTGACGGCCATCATACTGCCTAAGAACCCTAATTTGACTGTATTCTACTGGTGGATAGGAAACAATCTTCAGGTAGATGATCATTTTTTACTAAGATTATTTTCAGTCTCTTTCCAATAAAAGTTGTGTTACCTCTTACTTTAATAGAAATGCTTGCATGTTGCATGCCTTCTTTTAGATTGTCTTTCATTCCAAATAGCCAGTTATGCCTCGTGGCAAGTGTTATCACATACATTTATGTGTTTTATCACATACATTTAAGATGTTAATTTCCCTTTATTGCTAATTATGTGGAAAAGGAAATTTTTCTCATAGAGTTGCTTTGTATTTCTAAATTATTTTTGGGGGAGGGGCACAAAAATTCAGTTTATTTCATTACATGTGGAAAAAAAAAATTGTGGAGGGGGGGGAATGCATTTGGGATTATACCATTGGTGAATGATGAAACTTAGATTTATGCACTTTCATGTTGATAATGTGAGTACTGTAAATTTATGTGCTATACAGAAGTATATATATTCATTATACAGATAAATATTTTCTGGGAGTCTAAAATAAACTGACGTGTCAGAAACAACTGGGATATCTAAAACACACCGGGAGCACTCAGACAATCTAATGATATTAATTTGGGGATAGAAAATCTGGATAAACATATCCTAGAGCAATAAATATCCAAGTATTTCTATTGGCAATATTTCTTTTCTATCTGGGTTAATTTCTTTTAAAGTAATTCTTTCAATAACAGGTAAGTAAAGTATTTTCTTTGAGATAGACCAAGTTTGACACAGGAATGCTTCAGATAAGCACAACAAAGTTTATTCCTGTAAATGTGCTGTCTACCATAATCCCAGCCTGCATCTGTTTATTATTGTTGACTTTGCCATTGCCAGAACAGGCACTGCAGATTCAGTGTAGTGTTGTGAAGGGTTTTGTAATCATACAGATGTGATCAAGGAACAGAGTGTCTCAGTTCCATCTTGGAGGTTATGGTGGACTGGTGTACTTCATGGGTCATGCTCTAAATCAGCAGAATTAATCCTTTTGACCCTGACATACCCTACATTTTTTGAGGCAAATGACTTGCTACATAGGATCTTCTTGAGATTGTTGAGCCTTCCTCAAAATCCATTTAGTTCAGTGGGATCTGAATGAAAACCTAATATTCTAATGAATATTCTAAAAGATGTTTGCCTCATATGTCACCTATTCTTTTTATAAAGGATCCATTTAGGGAAAGAAACATCCTGTATTGAAACTTATAATTGAACAGTTTGATAATATGTTGACTGTGTAATTGATGTGAATTTTTGTTCATATTTTAAATGGCAGTCTCTTCAGACACTGTTCTCATGGTTCTTGCTGAAATTCTATTTTCAATTTTTCCTTGTTTTTTAAAGCCACTCCTTACATTGGAGAGTTTCCTGGTGACAAACTTTGCTGAGACAGGTGACATCAGAGTTACTGTCCAAGCTTCCTGTGGGAGCTCCATGCTTCAGGACTCAAAAGTTGTCCACGTTTTTGGTGAGACATTCCTCTTGTTTTTTGGGTTTTTTTTTGTTTCATGGGTACTTGTTTCTTATACCTCTTAAATCAGCCCTGACACAACTGAACCTGTTGTAAAATTATATCTAATGCCACATATAATTCTTAAAATTAGAGGGGTGAACTGTCTCTAGGTAACTCTGTGAAGTTGAATCAGTGTGTGATTGTATGGAAGGGTTTTATCCAAAACATTTTGTTTCATTTGCTTATTTTAAATATTACTGTGGTTCCTAACTGCTATATGTAGCACTAGAGCTTAAGTAGTATTTTGGCCTATGATTAGAAAGTTTCTTAGAATTTTAAAATAAAGTAGTTTAAATATCTCTGGAAAAAAAAAAAAAAAGTTATAGATATGCTCTCAGCATTAAAAACTATGTGAAATAATTGCCTTTTATCTCAATATATCACTGTTCCTTTGATGTTTATCTGAGAGTTTGGATCAAATATAGCTCTGCTGTAATTATTGAATAACCCTTCAGCTCTTGTTTCACATTGTGCCCTGGTGTGTCTTGTTGTGTCTTACAATGTGGTGACAAGGCAGAATATACTGTGAAAAATGTAGTGCCGACAGATTATTTACATTTGTATTTGTGCTGTCACATGTGGGAATTCTGATAAGTGAAAAAGCTTCTTTTTAATGCAGAGATAAAAGCCTTCAGATATCATGGCATACACAGTATGATACATCTCTATGGTCTGAAGAATATTCTGTTATTTTTGCTATTAGTATACTTATTTACTTTAAATAATGGTAAAAATCACACTCATGCTAAATGGAGCTTTTACGAACCTTATCCTTTCCTAAGATAAATGGATTTAACGTTTTGGATACCACTTATAAGTACATCCACTTTTTTAGAAATCTTTAGAAGTGTGACTATAAGTGTAACCCTCCTAAGTGTGACTAGATCAATGACTTCGGCTTTCTAATGCTTCTTCTGCTCTTAGTATTGACCAATCCCGATACCAAGAGCAAGAAAGTACTGGCCATGAGGGAAATAAAGAAACCTTTGGAATAGAAAACCACATTAAAATACAAATCTGTTGGAAGTGCCAGGTTTGACTCATGAATTCCAGAGGATCTCTTCTTCTGTTGGAAGTTCCCCAGGTGTTGATCCAAGGAGCCTATAAAGAGAAAGGGAATATTTTAGAGACTGTTTACTGAGGAACAGCCCATTTCCAGTATTTCAGATATTTTTGACAATATCCAAAGAAATATTGTGGGCGTACCTTGTTTTTATTTTTTCAAATAGGGCAATACTTAGCCTTTGTCATCTCCTTTATGTTCTTACTTTTGTAGCTAGTTTATGGAGTATGTAAAGTATTCATTTTACATGAAAAACAGGAACATGCAATGGGCAAAAACCATATGTTTATGATTCAGTGAGAATGAAATCCACTGGCACATTCCCATTACACATAAAAGAAACTAACCATGTTTGTGTGGTGTATTGTCCTAAGGAAAAATTATTGGGAAGGTTATGACCCCAGAGCATGTATGTAAATCTGCTTTGTTAATCTTTTTCTTCCTACTTTTTTATCTTTAGGCACAAGTTGGATGATGATGAAAATACAGAAAGAAATAGAGTGCCTGACAGGACCGTACTCTCGCTCCATGCAAGAGTAGTGTTGTTCCTACATACTGCTGTGCTGCACAGCAAATAATGCCAAACACATATTTTCAGCTTTTATATCTACAAAACTGTTTTTGCAACCTGGTTTATTACTTGTTTAAAACTGCTTGGTTGTTTGTTTTGTTGTTTTTTTCCTAGATCATTTTCATGTTCTTCCTCTGAAGTTTACTAAGCACCTGGACATGTACAACCCCGACATACCAGAGTGGAGAGAAGACATAGGGCGGGTAGTAACACGACTTCTTGCAAAGGTGCTCTTTCAGATTGCTCGTAAAATGTTCCCTCACCAGTTGTAAAGCTTGAAGGTTAAGTTAATGCCTTCTCCTTTAGAAAAAAAGGAGGCAGAGCAAAATAATAAAGTGAATCTCATGAGCCACATTTCAAACAAGTTTGAGCCTAGTGTTGCTTTTACATGCAGGCTGTAGATGATGATATTGTAGCATAGACAGTTCAGAACTAACACAGCCTAATTGGCAATTAATGCTAAATATTTCTCTCTGGGATTAGGGATAGACATATTGGCAAATACTGCTGACTCCAAAACAGGAAGAGTAGCTTAAATGTGATATATTTAGAAGTTAAGCAAAGGATGCTGTGTAATATAAAAGACATAGTCTTTGTGTAATAGCAAAGCAGAAAGAAAGAATTTACAATGTCAGTTGTGTAACTTTGGAAATTATATATAATATATAGGCACACAGTTCATACAGCTGGTTTTTTAGATCACATTCACAAAAAGAAATGTGGGTTGGAAGCAGCTGAACCCTGTAGGTTAAATCAAGTACAAAGCCATGCAGCACTACTGTGAGGTAAGTAAAGAGCACCCCATGAAAACGGTGAGCTCTAGAGCTGTGCTTTTCAGGTGCACAGGCTGCAACCAACCGAGTGTGCACACACTGACTCTGGTGAGGGCAATAGCACTGAGGTGCAGGTTGATAATGTTTTTAAAATACTTGCATTTGAAATAACTTGACTTTTCCTGCATTTGCAGTCATGCTCTGCAATTTTGACTTTATACCGTTTTCTGCCTTTTTTTAGTGGCTCATATCAAATGTCAAATTAAATTTCCCACTTTTATCAACTTAAACCCATTCCAGAACCACTGTCAGTCAAATAAATATTTTACTCCCTTATAAAATAATCCTTGCATTTTAATAATTGTTAAATGATTTGCAAACACATATGAATGATTTAATGGAATTTCAGAATCTGTTTGGGTAAGGCTACAGGAAATGTCCAGGGTGTTCTCATTAGAATCGTGTGACTGTATTATGCATTCTATGGAGGAATTTGGAACTAAAAGCAAAATTTGCTCAAACTATTTTGAAAAGGGATACACTTGACTTTCAGTGGGGGATGCGGGTATTCATTACAATTTCAGGAACTCAATTTAGGTGCTCAATCTCACCCTGGAAGACTTCTCTCCATCCATTAAACACAGATGGAAAAGTAGCTTCCTTGAGCTAAAGTTAGCTGTAATGAATATGCCCTTCTAAGTCTACTAAGTGTCTGAATGGCACACAAAGGTTCCTAAATCACATAGGATTTTTTTTTAATGTTACCCTAGAAATTCACAGCCATTGCAGAGTTTTACTAAAACTGCATACCACTTCATTTTGCTTCTTTCCATGATGCCACTAAATTGCTTTAATGTGATAACACTGCTTAGCTCTTCCAATCTTCAAAGAGCAGCTCACATTTCAGTTAATTTATGTTTGACTTTGTTCATGTTTTAGCTTCTGTTGGAATCCCCTCTAAATATTAATGATCTGAACACCAAAGACCAAAAGACATGTGTGGAGTTTATTTACATATTTTCTATTACATATAAAGGATGATGTCCTAGAATTTGTCATATGCCTTTGTCGTTGCAGGAAACCAATATACCCAAAGAAACACTCATGACGGTCGTGAAACCTGGTCTACCCACAACTGCTGACTTGCATGTGCTACTACCAGCAAACCAACCAAAAAGGAAGAGAAGTGTAACTAGTGATAAGGTAACTAGAGCAATGTATTTCTGTTTAGGACAGTTCCATCCCATTCTGCAATCAGTGGCTGTACTCTCATTTATGTGAAATTAAAAGGTGTTTCCTAACTATGTAAAGATCTCACTCCCACCTGATAAGAGACATGTAAAAGCTAGCAACAGCTATGACTGCTTTGTTTGACACAGCATAATCTTGTGCTTATTGGTATTAGTGTGTTACTCAAGAATACTCAACAATAATGATCTGGTTTTTAAACAAAAACAACAGTTGATGGCATGCCAGTCTATGAAGACCTGGTAGAACAGAGTGTATTTAGAACACTGATATTTCTAAAGAAGGATGAACCATCTCTGCACTGTCTTTAGACTTATATATCATGTCAAACAGAAACAGAACCTTAATAGTTGACCTATAATGTAAAAAGCATCAAGCAGGCAGTTTCTGACTTTATGAGCAAATGTCCTTTTCAATTGGAAGGAAACAAATCAAGTGAACACAGGAATGAAAAACAGATATTAGTTTCTCCCTACTTATTTCCATACCATATTTCTTCCGTAGCAAAAGACCTTATGCCACTTGAAAATCAGAAGGCTGACACTTACAGTTTATGATATTTGTCCTTTTGCTGGGATAGAGAAGGAACAGATCCCAACACTGGACCTGTATCTTGAAGTTCAAGTCCTGCCAGTAACAGAGAATCCCAGTGTAAGGTATTGTTAGCTTTGAGAGGCATTTTACAGGTTTTTGAGATGAGGTCACAGTATCCAAAGAGCTGGATAAAGTAGGTAAAACGAAGCTCTTTCTATGAATAAAAATCCAGTAGATTGTGTTTGGAATTGAGGGCGTACACTTTGGAAGGTCCAATTGAGTATGTTGATGTGGAAGTACTCAACAGGTGTCTTAAAAATGCACAGAGTACAGTGTAAATGCACCAGCATTTATGCTTTATGGCAACCCCAACCCCTACTGCTCTCCCTCTATTATAACAGTGGGAAGTCCTGGAAGTCTGAAATCCTGATTATATTACAGGAAATGGTTAATTTTAACGGCTTGTCTCTTTAGTAGAGAGTCATTCATGAACTCTGGCTTTCAGACAGGTGACTATTACCACTCAAAATTATTTGTGTCCTTCTGCTTCTTGAAAAAGCAAGGTGTAGCCTCTGAAGGAATTTATTTCTCTTTATTCTGAGCATATATGGAATGGACATCTTTAATGATTTAAGGGAACTGATGGTGATAGGTTCATAGGTTGTGCAAACATTTCATTTCAGTTCAAAGTGGTGTTACGCATATTAGTTCCCTTTAAATCTCAACTGTTATATTAGCACTGTGCTTCAAGGCAGCTTAAAGAATATCATCAATTATAATTAATGCTGTTGCAAGGTTTTTTTCATGTTTATGTCCGAAATATCCTGTGAGTTACTCCAAAGATTAAAGAAGACCAATCACATGTTGCAAATGATTTGCAAAAGCTTCTGTTCAGTGGGGCTATGGGGAAATTAGAGTAGTTTAGCAGGGCACAGTTTCTGTGACAAGTAGTCCTCTGGTAAGACCTTGCAAAGGCTTTCTGAAACTAGAGGAGCACTGAAAGGTGAAATTAATTGTGTAATCCAGAGAATAGATGTACATTTCTGACATTGTTAGGATGGACCAGGACACGCCAGTGGTAGTTGGGGTTTACATGTATGGAAGTACTAAATATGGCACAACCTGCATTTCATTGGAGCAGGAACAAAGGGAAACAGGAGCGGTTACAGTGACCTGTGCTATTCAGTGATAAGGTACACTAGTATCACACTTCAGCACCAATTGTTTTATAGAGTACAATGCCGTAGAGCCAGACTTGTAGTGCTAGCTGCTTACATTTCTATTTTTGTATTATTGTTAAGGGACACTACTTCAGCTGTTGATATGTGCATATAAATTTGTTGATTTAGAATTGAATGGCATAAATTTTGATAAAATGTGTTGTATCAGAATCCATTATGACTCAGGAAATATCCTGAAAATATAGTCTATGTAAATAAACTTAGAAGCAGTAACTGGTTGAGTCAACAGGAAAATACTCATAGTGTCACCAGAGTAGAATCTTGAAGGTTTTCATCATGTTTCACTGGAAGGATGTGTTTTGTCATCCTGCTAGTGCCAGTTCTCAAAGTCAGTGTTGTGACACTGTTGTGAGGATCCACCAATGCAAAACGTTTTCTGCACATTTGGAGGAGATGTTCCTAAAATCCTTAACTTAGACATAGTTATGAAATGCCTTCCCTTAAAGAGAACCTATTTGTTCTTGGCTGAAGACCTTTTAGATTTGGGATATTATGTGATTTCAGAAGGATTGTTAAAGGCAACAGTTTGTTTGTCAGGCAGAGAACACCTGCTTGGTGGAGTTCCTATTGGTGTTTTACATGGAGTGTTTTGATGTGATGCTATTTGTTAAGTTAGTGATCTGGAATGGGAGTTATTACTGTAAAATAATATGGTAAAAATACGGTAAAAGTGGCCAGCAATAACAAAGATCATAAGTTGGCAGTGTGGTATTAGGAGCCCTTTGGATGATTGTGAAATTTGGTTCCATTCTGACAAAAGCACTTTTTCATTCAAATCTATACATGTAGAAATAAAAGTTGAGTGTCACATTTCATTCTAATCACTGACTCTAGAGGAAGACTTGGTTGCTTAATTTATTCACATCTGTTACATGTCTAATGTCAGGTGGTATGACTCCAGTTGAAAGGGTTAATTAAAGTGCATTTAAACTATAGCCTGGAAAGCAGTGGCTCTGTGGAATATTTGGGGCTCTATCTAGACTAACTGCTACATGAAAATTCCCAGTGAGTTACTTTGGCAAAAAGGGCAAGTCAGACCCCTAGATGTGTAAGTGGGTAAGAGTTTAAATAGTGTCATTATTTTTGCCTTCTTATACCACAGTGCAGGAACCATTGTATTCACATCTTCAAATTTTAGCATTGGAAAGGATGTAGAAAAAGATGATAGAAAATTCAAATGCATTATAACCTTAACTTAGAGAGTCTAGGGAGGAACTCCAAACACTGGATTTGTTTTTTAAAAACTTGAAGAGGTAGCAGCACTGTGTTCAATAAACACCTTGGGGCAGGAAAAAAACAAACAAAACAAAAAAACAACCACAAAAAAACCCCCACAGAAAAATAAAAACAAAAAAAACCAACCCATGAGTACTGAAACAATCATAAATCTAACAGTGAAATAAATAAGCCAGAACCTTTGTCTGGATTCACATGAGGTTCAAATTTTTGACCTGTGAAAGTATAGTTTGTCTAGGCTTGGGTTGGAGCCCAGGGGTGGAGAGAGAAATAACGAACAAGTGTTAGTCACTTAAGCAAAAACCAGAGCAAATGTTGGATTCTTCAAACTTCTGCCAGGAAAATATGATGTATCCAAATCTATGGGGCTCAGTCATTTCATTTACTGGCTGAAAGTCAGATTAGCCTAAAGTACTGGTCCCTCTTGCATTGTATACCACCAACATGTGAATTAGCCTGGACTGAGACAAAGTAACTCTATTTCAGTGGTGCCCGCATCATTTTAAAGGCTGCTAATCAGTATAGCTGTTATATCCATTCTCTTTTCAGACTTTGGGCAAAAAGATAAATAATAAGGAGCTATCTGGAGTAACTGTCTTGCAAAATAACTGAGGCCATGCTCACATCACCCTTATGTTGAGTCATTTCCCCACAAAAAAAAAAAAAAACAACAAAAGAAAGAAAAAAATAAAAAAGTAATATAGTCAGTGGAATGGCTTCAGAAGTTAGATATTCCTCAATATGAGTAAGGATATTTGAATTTCAACTTCTGTACCATCTCTGTCCATAAGAGAGACTACAGAGATTTCTATCTATTATACTGCAAAGGCTTGTCAAAGATGAGCACCGTAATTGATAATATCATAAAACGAGTTACTCATGAAGGTTTCATGGATATAAAGTGTATTTCTAATTTGGCATCCTGTGGGAAGTCATATGCTAAATTATAAGGCATAGAGTATAAAACTAGCTTTGATCTTTTAGAAAATTACTCATGTTGAAGACAAAAGCAAGTAGAAGGGAAAATTCAGACAATTTGTCATCTGGGGTTAGGATATGATGGTATATTTAATGGTTCTGCTCCATAAAAATGTGAGAGACCATATTTTACCCTGCTCTATCCACTGGAGAAAAATAGGAGGAATCCTGATTTTTTCCACATGGATGGATGTATATATTTCTACAGAGTATTGTTAAAAATGAGGTATAAATGGAATTCATCCCATTATAGGTAAGGAGATGAGGTAAATTACGATGTGCAGTTCATTATCAAATAGCAGTTACTTTTCATAGCAAGAAATCTAAAGTGACATCACAGGTTTTCTTCTGCTAAGTTAGAAGAATTGAGAGTTTTTAAGATGGATTATGCATTGTGTGAGTTATGACCAAGGTAAACCCAATAGCGCGTGCAAATGACATGCTGTCTGTCACATCCTGGGTAAATGTAAAGGCTTTGGTTAGCAGAAAGAAAGATTTGGCTATAAAGATTTGACATTTTCAGCTTTTATGGATTGTGAAGTTTTGCATGATTTTTAAATATGGAATTTCTTTAAGATTTCAGCTCACTGCTGACAAATGTTTTATGAGTTTCTCACCATTTAATGAACCAGAGGTTTTCCTTTTTAGAGCATTGAGTCTCTCAAAGTGGAACAGAGTGCAAGACATTTGAAATTCTCTCTTGTATTTTCAGAGGATAGCGGCTATAAAGCAGGCCTTGAATGCACACAACATCAGTTTCTTTCTGAGGGGAGGATACTGGGTCTTAGTGACTTTAGCTGACTCCGGTTCAGGTAAATATATAAACAAAGCTTCCAACAGACCAACCTTTGGATGCCTGTCTGAGTTCTGATAAGTTAAGAAGAATTTCTTCATATCAGTATAGATGTGTACATCTACACACGTACATATATATATTTACTTGGTATTTGTTATATTATGTATAGATACACACATAAATATATATGTGCGTAAATCTATATATACATATGCACACATATATATGGGTATATTTTCATTTGGTACTTGTTAACAATCACCAAATAAATATTTATTACATATTTCCATTTTTGTCATACATCATTATTTGTTTCAGAAGGTTCTTGATTTTTTTCTGTGTAACGATGAGATTAACTAAATACCTATATTATAGAAAACAGTGCTCTGAAGGAAATGCCAACCAGGCTTCAAAAAAAACATCTGGTAAAGCACTTTGGCTGCCCTGGCTGCCGAGGAAGCAGAGTTTCTTTACTTCAGCCATTAACTCTGCAGATATAACTCCAGGGATCTGGGACTAGCCTTGCATCTCTGCCTTGCAGTGGAAGCCAGTTTGAGACCTTCAAATCAACTGACATGAAGCTTGCTGTAGGGTCTCCACATTGCTAGTCCTGTCCTGAGATAAATTATATGCCTATTTGTGTTTAAAACAAATGGAAAGAGGAGGTTTGCATGCATTTTCTGCATCTCTGTATTCACTATGTACTTGGAAACTGGTTGAAGAGATTATGTGTGCATGTGTGTATATGTGTGTGTATTTTGAGCAGAGATACATTAAAAAGATGTTTTAACGAGAAGGTTCAGCTTTGACATGAACCTTGTATTAGAATGTCCTGTAGCTTTTGTTTGTGTATCATATCCCATAATATATCCTTCTTTCTTGTTTCAGTGCGTTGTGGGAGAACAGCTTAGCTGACCACAATCAATTTATGTAAATACTGCTGTGATATTTTATCTGTCAGCTCTCTGTAGAAGACAAAGCTCTTTTATCTGGTCTCTAGTGTATTATCATGCTGCAGTTTTGCTGTGTTACCTTTTCTGTTTTACCTTTTCTGTTTTAGAGGGCTAACTTTTGTTAGCCAGCAGAAAAGGCTGGGATTGGAAGAAGCCCATGTTCATTCCAGCCTTTACCAATGTACAATCTCAGTTCATCTGTTGATTAGTGCAGCCCTGCTTTTGCCATGCATGTACTTAGGGTATGTGATCATTTCCTACGATAACTAGATTCTCAGAAAAGAAACCCAGTGAGTATACAAATAATTAAAACTTCAGGGCTTTGGGTTTTGGGTTTTTAATTGGTCGCCTGTCCTTCAGGCACAAGTCACCAATTATTTTTGTGTTGTTGCCTTTTTGAAGAGCCTGCGGATGAACTGAAAAGAAGAGGTTACACAAATAACAAAAAATGGTTTTGACCTGACAATTAGATAGAAAAGAAAGCCCAAGAATGTGACTGACCTGAAAGAGGACATGCTAAGCTGTTCTTTTATTTTGTATTTCAGACTCTCAGAGGATTGGAGGAGGCAGTGGCTACTGGGCTATTGTGGTTCTCTTTGTTATCTGTCTAGTCGCAGTTGGGGCTTTCATCCTCTACAAGTTCAAAAGGCAAGTAAACCTTAATCAACAACATAAACATTTTAAGACTTAGAATTATCCACAGATCAGCAAAACAGAGTTTATTTGAAAAGGAGTTTTCTTGGAAGAATTGCAAAAAGTCCGCTGCTTTGAAACTGTGTTTTTCTGAACTTTTCAGATGTCAAGGTACTTCACTGAGGCTTGCTTTCACTTGATGTGTTCCAAGATAAATAGCAGTGATATGGGAACTATGGAGAGTTTGTTCAGCATGTCTAAATAATACCATGAAGAAGAAAGCTGAGCTAAAGTATTATTCCTGATTAATTCCTACCTCCTTACTCCTAGCAGTTATGAACAAACTAAAGCTATCAGGACAATGAGTGCATCTGCAATGCTGATTTACTTTAAAAAAGTTTTATCAAAATGCATAGGTCTGGAGTTTCTCTTTGCACACATTACATGTTAATTGCTGAGGCAATGCCACATAGATTGATGGAAACAGATTAGTCTTAATTTGACACTAGAGCATGTTGAGGGAAGAAATAATTCTTAAAGTGGCCTTTATGAGAGATGCATTCTCAAAATTGACAGGGGATACCATGCCGGTCTTTGATGGTCTGATAGGTCTTTAGTCTGCAATTTATTTTAATTGTAGCTACTAGGGTGCTCTGCAATTCAAAGAATTTTGGATTTGTTGAAGTGTTTGTGTAACCACTGGCTGTGCTCTTGTTAGTTTGTATCTCTGGGGCATTTAGAAGCTATTGTGTTAGATCATACTGGAAACAAACCTTCATCATCATCAAATCCAGATGTCCTTACTCATTGAGGATTCCTACTGATTTGTCTTATTTGTTAAAGATGGATTTTTATTTGAAATAAACATAAGTTTATAGAAATAGATGCAGCACTGAGTTTGTGATAGCAGTAAGCATACATAGCATTTAAGTAAGAGTTTGTTTAGATAAAGAGTTTTTAAGTCAATAGAGAAAACCTTTTTTTTTTTTTTTCAAGAAGCTCTTAATTTTCTTGCTTCAGCACCTGTTTCTCAGAGCTGAGTGGCTGATTGCTCTAAAGGACAAAGCACAGAATGCTGTATCAGATTGTCTACAACTGAATAAAAATTCATTTCACTATTTTAGGTGCCTGCAGCAAGGAAAAGCATAAAAATGGTTGATGTGATGTAATTATATTATTTCAGAAGCAATACATGGAGGATTTGCTGTTTGTAATGTGGGATCGTAAAGCTTGCTTGTGTAATCTTTCGAATGCTGTATGATTTATATCTTTTATTAGCTCTTAAATGAGAGCAATTAAATAACAGACACAATTACTGCATGGCGAAAGTATAAAATATTCAAGAAAGGGGAAAAAAATATTTTCTTAGAGTTCTTTCTAAAATGCCCAATGAACCATTGCTTTATAAATAGAGCTTTTATTAACTATAGTACAATTTGCAGATTGTGAACTTTAATGTCTCTCACACTTCGATTTATAATTTGTGAAAATAATTTTCATTTAAATTTTGTGGGGGTTTAATTTAGGTGCAAGTGAGGAGAACTGTAAGATATATTCAGATGTTTCTCAGTAGCCTGAAAACTGCTGTTGGCATTGATGAATGACCATGCAGTAGTATTCAATTTTAGTCCGTATCATATCTGTTTCTGTTATATTTGACAGAATTATTTCTAAATATTCCTGCTAAGCTTTTCCAAGATGACAATTTTTTTTGGTTGCATCCTTCATTTGCAAATTGATCTTTAAAGAATATTGAATGCCTAATCGGTGCTACATTTGAAAAATCACTTTTTCTCCATGTGCTCCCTGTGAACTCCTCTCCCACCCAAATCTTTAAACCCTTAAGAAAAACCTTTCCTGTGTTTATAAAGACTGATGGGGAATCCCCATGGAGTACTTACTTCCAAGTATAGTCCCTTTTAAGTCAGTACAGTGAGTATGTAAGTTTACAACTGGGATTGAGGCTATGAAACTGAGTGTCCTTTATAAATATAAAGGTTACAAGTTGTAATGCACAAGGGCAGGCTGTCAATATTATATGTCTGTATGTTAAAAATTAATTTGCTGGAAAAATGCCGTAGGCAACAAAAATTGTTCAATTTTAGGAGATAATTTCACTAGAATAACACTAGGCCATATGGTAACTCAGACAACACATGCAAATACAAATATGAATTATTTCCACATAGAAATTAGACACATATATAAGGTGTTGAAATGTTAATACTGTCCATAATTTTTATGTATGAGTCACAAAATTAAGGAGGAGAAGAAAGACATTTAGTGGTGCTTTCCTTTCATTTAAGTAAGTTGATAGTCAGATACTCCCTTCAGAAAAGGTTTAAAACTAATTTTTTCCCCAAATCAGAGAAATGTTTACAAATCTTAGTTTTATCACTATAGTAATTGGGTCTACAGGAATTGCAGTTGGCACTGGGGCTCAGGCAATGCAGATAATCTGCAAAAGACTGCATGGATATGCCTTGGACTATTCTTTCTCTCTTTCTCTCTCTTCGCCAGCCTGAAGGACAATTCTTAAGGTTAAGTTTGATACCTGGAAAGATGGAAAGACTTCCTTGCAGATAAGATGATGACTGGATTGGCAGGGAGGTTACGGCTTCAGTGCAGAGGCACTGTTCAGGATTTGTGATGAAATGTAAAGAGAAAATAGTGGACTTCTGTGTAGATCATTGTATAATTTCAATAGAAAATGGAGAAACCTGCACAAACTGCCCAATGGTTCCTGAGTGCCGAAGCCCCTTGTACCCATGCATAGTCACCTGCTTTACCTGCCCAGATTATTTCTGAAGTTAATGTCATAAGAACTTGGGTCTTAATTTACACACATTTTTGTCAGACAGAATTGAGAGATGAAAGATGGTGTTGGCAAGCCATAAGGGACTAATCTAATACCTCTTTTTAATGAATCTCTCAGGGCAATCAGGACAGCTATGATAAAACTTGCTGCTCCTGTTTAATTTCTCATCCTCTGAAAACTGCAATACCCAGCACTAAAACCTGGTATCCCTCACAAGAAGTAAATCTCACAAAACTAGTTTGGGGTAGAACAGTAATCTGAAAATAACACTCCTGCATAAGATTCTGTATCTGATGCTTCATATGCAGAAAATAAACAGAGTATTTTATCTAGTTAAGTAGTAGGGTAGGGGGAAAACAGAGGCAGATTCATAGAGAGGTACTGGGATTTTGGCTGATTGGTTATATGCGTAGTAAAAACCAGTGCCATCTCATCACTCCTGAAGTGATGCTCATTAAAAAGAAAAGATTGAAATTCTATGATTTCCCACTACCCTAATCAAAACTAAAATTGTAGTGTCTGCTGGGTAATCAGAGCTGTCATGGCTGTCTGGCTAATGATTAGGTGACGGTAGGTTACATCCATTCTGGTATGCCCTAATCCCAAATATTTAAACAGTGACTAAGAAGACTGCTCCCCTCTGTTCTTATACGCAGTAAAATTGCAAGCATTTATCATTTCATCTCCTTGCCACCCCCAACCCTACCCCCACCCCCATTTTATCTAATGGCCTATTTGTGCATCCAGCCACTTCTCACCAGGAACATGTGCTCAGAAAATTGGAGCTGGAGTCCCCAGAGCTCGTGCAGTAATTCCTGGCAATCCTGAGAGGGGTTGGTTGCTTTAGACAAAAAAAAATAGAAAGCCAGAAAATCTTGAGACATGCAGAGTTCTGATCCTTTGTGATCAAAGTAAGCAAGCAATTCAGATTAGTAAATCAAAAGGAAATTTTAAATTTTAAATGCTGATGGTTTCGAAAACTAAATCTAGTTGTATCTCACAAATGAGCAAGGATTGGTTTAGATAGTTTGGAAGGGGTTGAATTCTCAGCATGGCAGCAAGGAGCAAGAGGTAATACCTCAGCTGCTAAATCTGACTGTGGCTGTGGCACAAGAGGCAGTGCAGACCACTAACGTGAATGGTGGGCAAACCAAGAATACATTGCCTTTTCTTTGCTCGTACTTTCTGAGTATGGAAATGACCAATCTGATGCCTCAAGCAAAAAGCATGTACAATACTCACTAGTATGTTTCAGTTGTTTAAGCATCCAGGTAAAATGGACTACAGGTGATTCTTTTGACCTGAAAAATATGAAGCAGCTGGTAAATATTTTTGAGAGATCACGTCTATTTTTTAATGCAGATCTGGGACCTGCATATATTTTTTTTCTATATCATGCCATCTTTACTAAATTTGGTTCAGTAATGATACATTTCTTCCATTCCCTTTCAAATAATGTTTATATCTTTTTTGTGGGTTTCAAGTTGCTATCCAGAAAAGAGTACTTCATCCTTTCGGCATAAGCTTCTATGGTGTTGAGTCCTAAGCAACAGAATAGAGAAGACAAATAGCTGTCTGCACTAGTCAAAGCGGAGGAAAGGAGAAATATTTTTAGCCACATCAAAGCTGCCATGTAATCATTATGTTACTAGTGGAATATCTGAAATCATCCTTTTCTTATTTTTCATTTCTGTATAACAACAGGATATTAGAGTAGCCAAACCAGAGCAAATAGTTGGCTTATTTCCTTAGGTATTTTACCTGATTGATAATAGCAAATTTAATTTTCTAAAAGAGTATGAAAATCTTCATCTTTTAATTTGTATGCAAACTACTGCCAGCATACTTAAAGCTGCTCACATTGTTTTCACAAATTGCCGTGATCATCTTCAGCCAAGTTTACACCATTTTGTGTGTATTCATTTTTTTTCCCACTACTATCAAGTGCCACTTTTGGTAAATGAACCCCCTCCTGGGTCATTTCCACAATCTGGAGCAGAACTGTGTTATCTTTCTGCCTCATTGACTTACTATCTCATTTTCAGTCTCTGAAGAAAAGCTATCTTTTCTCCTCACCTTGCTTATACTACTTTTATGTTCCATGAGAGCAAGTTTAGTCCCAATCCATGCCGTTTAGTTATAAAAAAACAGGCACTAATTTAATGATCTGTAATATTTCATAAAAACTTCCTCAGAAATCAAAGTAATAGCATGTAGAAAAGATTTCTGAAATGAAGGCAGCAAGTAAATCAGGAGTGCCTTAAAGCACAAAGTCAGTCATCTGAACATTAATCCAAACATAATAAAGCCAACACCACAATAAAGTATTTAATGGATTATTATTGTTGTTAGTTTTATTTAAGTTCCAAGAGAATGCTACATTATTCCATATCCTTTGCCATGTGAATATGTTCCTATTTTTTATAGTAAACAGAATCTTACTGAAGCCTCTGGAAAACAAATGAAGTTGCATAAAGGCCAATGAATATTGTCTCCAAAAGGAAGGAATTGAAAGCCAAATAAACCAGAGAGTTTAAATGAGTGGGAATCAATAGCTCATCTCCCTCCTGCTGTTCCTTACTGCTGAATATTTTTAAGTGCAAACAGTTTCGGGTATGAACTGATTAGAATTTGTGAATATAGGGAAGAAAAATAGTACTTTCTGGAATATATTCTAAGTGTGGGACCTAGAGATCTTGGTGAAAGTCATGTGCTGTGATGTTTCTTAGTAGTTCTGTGCAAAATTAAGTCTCCAGTTCATATTTTTATGGTCGACAAAGCAGGCATGAATATTTCTTCTTCATGATTGAAATAAAATGCTACAGAGAAAACAAAAAGAACTAAAAATGTAAACTATGGAGTGCTGCTCAGCAGAGGTAATTGTCTCCAGTGATGGATGTGAAGCACATGCATTTTGCAGCTGAAGACTAAACCCTCAAAAGAAACTATTGCATAATCTTTTTCTCTGTTCTTATAAATGTGCTTTCAATTTTCATATTGCTGATATAAATCTCTTGGGTCAAATTTCATGTCTTGTCATTTTTTCACAGTAGTCTTTTATGTAGGCCCAAGCATTTCAGCTCTGCCTACTTCAAACAGTTACGTTGGACTAAACATAAATTGCTTCCTTAAGAAGAGCAAAGCGAGAGTTTCTCTCAGTATAATTAGGGGTAGCAGCTTCCTCCCTACACGCTAGAGCAGAGAGGAGAGAATGGAAGATTGTGAGAATCAGGCCCATCTTTAGCAGGGATTCAGTATCCACATCCTGTTTCATCCCACAGTGCGGTTGTCCCTTATAAATAGAGCATCTGGCACATGTGTTAGAAACGTCACTTGAAAAGGCTTAGACTGTCATTTTCTTATGTATGTGTATGCCATCACAAGACCTATAATATTCTCATTCCTCCCATCCTTATTCCATGTATGTATATCCATACTCCCATCCATACTCCACTTTCCTAAGTGTGAGGACCAGAGCAAAGTATGGAAAAGTCACTGAGTACCTCAGCTTTATACCTTCCAAAAAGGATCTGTACTCAGCAGGACTGGCTTTATGAGATTTAAGTGAGTGAGAAATAACAGCTTACACCTTTTTGCCTTTTATCTGTTAGCCATAAAGCAGTGCTCTTAACAACGATATGTTTAATGGTTATTTCTGTACTTTTGAGGTTTTGTCATTCAGGAACCCCTTAGTATGTTTAGTAGTATGTGCTGTGATCTCTAACTGGTAAGTCTGTCCAGAGACATGAGTTGAAGCCTCAGGATTTACACCAAAGGACACACCTTGTTGACCTGGTTTCAGACAGGGCCTTTGGCCTGGGCGGACAACAGTTAGACTAGCAGCTCTGCTCCCTTTACTTAGCTGCAGAGGTCTGATGTGCCATACGGATTTGAGATGGGTAACATTTTTATTATGTTAAAATATTTTGATAATGCCGTTGATACTTCTACAACCTGTCAGAAATAGAGTTTTAAGAAGGTCCCCTAATTACTGCAGAAACATATGTGCTAATTCTGCAGATGTGTTGCAAAGACATCCTTCTGGGTTTTGTTTCCCTTAGGCATTTGGCAGTGGACTGAAAGTGAGCAATTTGACAGGTTTGATGCAGGTCTGATTGAGAGGGATATTGTTTTCCGCATGACCAGTTTCATTAGCAGACACATTAAAAACAGTCTGGAGTTACTGGCCCTAAAGAAAAAAAAATCAAAATTAATTACCTAATATATTTATTTTGGTATTGAGGAATGTCCTTCCCCCTTGCAATGTGGCTTTCTTTATCCAGTTAATGGGAGGAGAGTGATGCAGGACTTGTCTATATGTGGATATTTGTGTTGGAGGAGCCCTTCGGACCTCCTTGAAGTGGTCATAATCATGGAATCATTGAATGGTTCATGTTGGAAAGGACCTTAAAGATCATCTAGTTCCAATCCTCCTGTGCTATCAGACCTTCTTTTCGTCCTTTGTATTTGGTTGGTTGAGTGCTTTATTTGTTCCATGCTTACTGAGATATAGAAAAGAATAGGAGCAATCACATTTCTTTCTCTGTGCTGCTAATAAGTAACGGGATAAAATACCTGATTTCTGTATGTGTGTATACATATATATATATATATATATATAAAATTTTGTGTGTGTATACACATACCCATACAGATTTGCATGTGTGTGTACATACATAGGTATATAGGTTGCAATTCGTCTCTTGGATAGTTCAAATTAAAGGGAGGAGATCCTTTTCAGTCATCTTTCATTATTTAAAATTTCTGTTTATTCTAATTACTTTGATGCAATGGAAGGTGCTGTTCAAAATAGTTTGCTGCAGTAACTTTTATCTCAGACTAAGATGGTGCCACCTGGTAAAGAATCTTTCTTTTGAAATTTCATTTAAAGAGAGGTCATCTTCAAAAGCCTAGAGAAAATAGAGCAACCTGTGTATTTATCCAGCTTTCAAACTGCTCCCAGAATATGGAGCAGAAGGTGGTTGTTTTTAGAGAGATGCCTAAAATTAGTGTCACTTTTTCTATCTTCTCACTGTCTAAACAAGCTCAGCAGAAACTGCAGCTTAACCTTCAAAGTTCAACCTTGTTTTCTCTTTTCTTCTCTTTCTCTGCCTGTTGCAATAATTTGTGCTTAAGCACAGACTTTGACAGCCACGATCTGTTGTCATGCTGATCAAGCTGTCAAGCTGCTTCTTACAGTATAAGAAACGGAGCTCACAACTTGGAACTCCCTAATCAGAAGTGTCTGCTTGGTGGCTAGGAAAGGATGTCCATATGTGCCCAGGCAGATTTCAGGTGAATTCAGCTACACCAAAGTGTATGACTCTCAATAAATGTTTAAACCATAAATTCTGCTGCAAAGTTAGAAGTCCTTGATTATTCCCTTTGATTTTACAACCTCTAATTTAAAATAATCCAGTAAAGAACTGTTTATCAGTACTAAGTCTTAAGCCTCCCAGTCTCAGCCACAGTGCTAATTGTTCATTAGAGCCGACAGAACCATTTAATAGTTTTTCTAGATTCAAATCAGAATGAATGAATTAAACACTGTCTGCTATAGAGAATTTTGTCTAATTCAGCAGTTCCCACCAGTTCTCAGCTTGGCCTAGTCCTGGACCAAGCTTTACATTGTGTCCTTCAGTGCTGCCTGCTTGACTTCGCCAACCTCCCGTCATCTTCTTTGCCCTTACTGATGCCTGTGTACCTCTTTACTATTATACTTACACCCTTGGTCCTGGCCTCCTGATTCTTCACACTCTGCTCCCTTTCCATTCCCTGTCTCCTGGATTTCTCCTGCTTCTTCCTTCTCAACCCTGATGGAGTATGAGAGTGGCATTTGATGCTATCACCCTTCAGTGTCAGCCCACCTCGCCAGTGAGATGTGATGATGACTGGGACCCAGCTTAATGTTTGTGAAGGCACCTGGAACCAGGAATGAATTCCTGCTGGGCCTTTTTAGTGTTTAAGTTCTTAAAATAGTTCTGTGGTCTTAGTATTCTTTTTTCTCAGTTATTCATTGTCTGTCAGTCTTAGTCAGAAATTGATGCTTAATTATTACATTGGTATGAACATCACGATAAGGCAGTTACATAAAACTGTGACTGAGAATAAGGAGTTGATAAGTTTAGGTTATGAACACAAAATTAAGGAATCGGTGGGGTTGGTGCTGTTTTGAGATTCTGGAATGATTTTGCTCTGCTGGAGCTCTGCTCTCATGCCAGCGTGTGTGCAAAATGAAGGAACTCCATCACAGAACTTTTTCTTCTTGTCCACTTTAGGAAACTGCCAGGCAGAAATGTTTACGCCCAGATGCACAATGAAAAAGAGCAGGAGATGACAAGCCCTGTTAATCATAGTGAGGACACCCAGAACATCATTCAGGGTGAGGAGTTTATTGATGATGATCTGGACTCTCAAACACTAGGTAACGCAAGAGGTAACTTAATTTTTAGTTTATAAATTTTAATAAGTAATTGATTTTTAATTGATGTTTGCTTTCATTTTATCTTTTTTCATTTTCTGCTCAGTCTCAGGAAGAAGTAAATAGTACACCACTAACAAAGAATTATCCCAATTATCTTTGGGCTTGCTTGTAATACAAGCTAATGTATCGATGACATGCTATATAGAGCATGAGGACAGAGGTGGTACAGTTTAATGTCAGGAGACTTCAGGAATTTTAGAGAGAAATTATATTGGTAGAACAGGATATAATAGGTAACAGTTGAATTAATAATCCTCTGAATTAGTGGAAAATGGAGTTTAGGCTGGAAGGGTTTGTGAAATCAATGTTTCCATGATTTCAAATGAATTGTATCTAGACCCATTGCTATATTTGCCGTCATATTACAGTGTCATTTAAAGTTCATGATTAGAAACATTAAATTTATTCCTGTATAAAATGTATGACAAGTCTTCCCTAATTTAGCTGGTAACTTTCTAGTATTCATGGACTGATAAGAAGGAACCCATGAGGGAAACTTTCTGTGAATATCTCTTGGTGCAGATTATTTCGGTGTCAGGTGGAAGTGTGTATCCTGGCACACTATGGTTATTTTTAATGTAACATGGAGTGCTGATCTATAAAGTGCATTTCTTGTAAAAATTTAACATTGTGTTCAGACTGCTTTCAGGTCACAGTCTGAAAGGTGTAGAACAATGGAAATAGCTCCCCAGTTCCATTTCTACACATTTTGTGAAAATAAATCAGATAACCCAAAGCCTTTGAGATTTGTAGCAGTAGATTCATGTGTAACAGGCAACTGTAATGTTTTCATGAACCCACAGAAGATGTACTTTAGCTGCACCAGAGATAGCCTGGGGAAGGACAGAACTTTGGCAGAGGAGAGATTTCTTTATCTTGGGTTTCACCTTTATCATTTATTGTTGGTGTCTTTATTTTCATTTGCTGAGCTGTGTGCTGCTTCTAGGTCTTGGAGGTGTTAGCTTTGAGCACAAAGGAAGAATCCAGCCTCCTGCTTTGCTTTGTGTATTTCTATCTTTTCTCTGACAACCTTTGTGTATAAGTATCACTATATTTTCATTCAGATTTTGCAAGATGACCTTGATTGCACTCCTGACTTTACTGGAGTTAGTTGACAACAACCCTGGAAAAACAAAGTTTGTGTTAAAATTGTTTGATCAACTCATCTCCTGGGTCTTTAGAGGAGAAGGCTGAATGCTGACAAAGTCCTTGCAGACATGCCTATTAAAGTGGAGCATTCAAACACCTCTAGTAATGTATAAAAGCATAAGTTCTTTTAATGGCAGAAACCCCCTTATGGCCTATTTATATAAATCAGCTTGGGATTCTGGAATAAAGAAGTGGTACCTTGATTTGTAGTGCATTCAGAAATAATCTCTAGTTACCATGCACTGCTTACTCAAGGAAAAAAAAAAAAATCTTCTATCTGGGCAGAGTGTTACTAGGGTTAGAGTGCAAGATCATGATGTTTTGATGTGAAACTTAAGACAGTCAGCAAATGCAGATCTTGAGATGGTTTGTGCTACTGCCAGGTTGTCAACACCAGCAGCATTTCCTGTGGAGCATAAACAGTTCATTTCTGTGAATCATAATAATCCATATTTGTCAGCTACTGTACAGCTTTTAGACACAAGACTTTATTTAAAACATAAAACTATACTTTAAGACATAAAACTATACTTCTCACTGTACTATTTTGTTATTTTCTTTCCACTAGCTCCGGTATTGCTCAGTACTGCCAAGAAAATATTGCTGTTAATGATAGTCCTCTATTTTATCTGGCTAGAGTATGAAACATGTTATAATCCCTGCTTTATATTAAATTCTGGTTTATGACGTTATTTGCAGAAGGTTCCTATGCTATGGAGACCCCTTCTAGTTCTGGTGAGCTTTCTCCCTCCCTGTTGGGAGATGCCAGTAGCAGCCTCCGCTCCATGCACAGCAGGGAGTTACAGGCCTGGGTTTCTGTTTGTTCTCTCTCTTCTCATAACTTTTGAATTTCCACAGTACAGTATTTCCAGACTCACCCATCCACTTTTTTTGTTTTCTATATATTTTATGTTGCCTACTTTATCGCAACCCCCACCTTGGGACTCCTCAACACCATTACCTTGCAGTGACTCCTTCTGGGAGAAGTGGCAACTTGAACAGCTACAGAGTTCCCTTATTGCTGATGCCGGTCAGTGTCCAGTCCCAGGTCAGTGGCATGTCGAATGGAGGCCTCAGGTTCCATTCTCCTCCCTCACCTGCACCCCTCGAGACAACTACACCTTTTTAAGCCACAAAGAGAACCAACTTATGCTGTCACTGGGATAGAAACCCTAGGAATTCACCACGAATTCACCACCATGAGCAAAAGCTTTGTGCAAAAGTATACTGTAGGTACATGGAGCTGTTGCACCAACCTTCACCTGACCTGTTGTTTGATAAAGCCACTCTCTTTATGCGATTGACTTGTCCCTGCAATAAAAGAGGGATTTATTGTGAAGTGCCTGAGATACACTAATGCTGGCCTTTTGTTTCTGTATTTTCATAGGCAATCACTCAGGCGTGGTTTTGAGCATCAACTCCAGAGAGATGCACAGTTACCTGGTTAGCTGATATTTACAGCTGAACACAAAAACCGAAAGACTCTTCTCTGTATCGTTTTATTTTTCCCTGGTGATGTCACAAAATTGCAAATATGGCTGTAAGTGCTAGTGGAGAGGAGGTTTCTTATCACTCCCATGGAAAAAAGCGTCCATCATCAGTTACCAAGGGAGAAGGATAATACGTCGTGTGTTCACTCTTTGGCCTGGGAACTCCTTACGAATGAAACTCAAACTATGGTAGCAAATTTGTAGCCCTAGGCACCTTCAATGCCACCTTATTTCTTTTCTGTATATGCTCTAGTTCTTTATGTTTATTTTTAGAAGGATTGACTGTAACTTTTTAATTATATTTTTAATTGAGGTATTCAGCGGAAGGCTGGGACTCTTTAGCCCAAAAAGGTGATTTTTACACAAGCAACTAGACCAGAACAGATGGTTGGTTGATCACAACGACTTCTTTTAGGAGGCCAAGTGTTTCTGTTCTGGGAGAGGACTGAGCGAGGAGACAAATGCACTCCTAGTTGAGACAAGCTCTTCACTTAAACATGTGTGAGACAATCTAATTAATTTAGGCTTAGGCCCTTCTGTGGATTAAAGGAAGTAAAGTGTTAATTAAGGTATCTCATAATATAGGATAATGCACTTGTAAGTGTAGCAAGTCCTGACAAACCATCAGTACCAGTATCTCCCCCAATCCCACCCTGTGTGAAAGAGAAACACCAGCTTGATGCTATTTCCAGACCAGGTGCCTTCATTTGCGGACAGTTATTTCAGTTGTTCTCTTGTCTCCTGAGCAAGCACCTCTAGGATGATAGATGAGTTATCCTGCAAAACTCCATGCTGCTGGCCTCTTTTTAAATTTCCAGAGTGTATAAATACCTCTTTTAAGTCTCTTTCTTTATATGGTTATTTTTTAAAAACTTCCTATTAGGGCAGAGGTGCCGGGCAGGTCAGAGCTCCCCTCCAGGCAGGACAGGGTTGTGTACTGCCACCCCTTCCCACCCGCATCCCTCTTAGGGATTTTTCCCTGGATGTTTGTCTTGCAAGGCAGGTGTGGGTAAACTCTGACCTGAGGTTTTCCACTTGGGTAGGTTTGACAATCTGGAGGGCCATGGGGAGGATGGGCTGTGATTTAGGAGTTCGTATTTCCTTTCCACCGCTACAGGGTGTCACTCAGTCCCTACCACTGCTGGGCCCTGTTTCTGCAGGGAGAGCAGTGAGGCTTCTGAAGGAGCTGGCTGCAGAAAGGCTTGTGAGTCAGGTCAGAATCTTCTAATCCCAATTTTGCTAGTTGGGTCAGAGTTTCCTAGTCCTGACCTCTGCATCCCTAGGGAAGCAGCAGTGCAGTGAATCCACACCCCTCTGGTCTTTTCACTGTGGTTTATGGAGTTGTGTAGGAAACGGACTGTGGTGTGATGATTTTAATCATCTGGCATCCTATGTGTCCCAGCTGCCTGGGACTAGGATGTTTCTCTCAGAAACCTATATAATCTCTTCACTTTTTGCCTTTGATAGAGAATAAATAGCTCTTTGCTCACTGAATGTCATACTGATGCTAGTGGCAAACTCACACACCACCTTGCTGAATGAGGGTACAGATAGCTAACTACATCTTTCTGAATAAATAAACAAAAAATAATGAATGCTGGTAAGACAGAAAAGCACTGTCTTAAAATAACTGTATGCATTGGATTCAGTTTTCCATGTATCTGTGGATATCCTGTTGTCATCAAATGCAACGACTGGGATGTAATAATTCAGTGTAGTACTGTAGGCTCTTGAAACACCACAGGATGTATGTGTAAAGCACAAGAAAATCTAGATTATAGATTTACTGTAAGGAACTAGGTGAAAAGTTAAACTGAAGATTCTGAAAAGTGCTTGTAAACTGCTCAGGAAAATAATTTCAAAAATTGTTCTAAAATTTCTGCCTATTTAGTTGTAGAGTGCCATGCAAACAGATTAATGGAGAAGCAGTGCTCTAGCTGACTGTTGTATGCCTGACTGTGTAGAAATCTAAAGTGTGACATGTATCTAAGTCTGGGTTTCTTGAAAGGAAGTGCAAAGACAAAATGAGCTGTGCATTGGAAATTCTCGGGGTTGTTGCACCAGAGGCTTTTCCTCCTCATCAGCTCTTTAGGCTTTTTCTAACGGAAATGAGCTAGAGCAGAGAACAGAACAGTATCACAAACAGCTTCTTCCTGTGAAATAAATCTGAAGTGGGGTATTAGTATAGGGCAGGTGAGTGGCAGATTAGCCTCATGGACAAGGGATGGGATGGAAGTTCTGGCTTGGGGTTGTTCTCCCACAGTTTGTCTGATTGGCAAAGGACACTGTTGGAACTAGGTCACACATCTAATTTATGCTTTAACAGCTACTTTCCTATATTTAATACAGGGTGATTTGTGTCTCTGATAACAGGAGTCTTTTGGAACACTGTAAAATATTTAACCACTTGGTACTCTAATTAACACTTAGCACAATATAGTGCCTGTAATAATATTTTTCGATGCTTATTAATTTGATTCATGCAGCACTCCTGCGAGGTTGGTTTGTCATGTCTTAAAAACACTTTTTTCTAAAGAGATGTCAGTATTGCCGTAACTGTATTAATAATACCCAGCAGATAATAAAGGAAGCCTTTGATTCCCTGGCAAGAATAACTTTAAAATGAATTATATTAAAACTGAGAAAATATCATTATCATTTTCCCATTCATGGTGTCTTGGTTTATCTTTAAATGAAAAGTCTCACTAGTGCTAGGTTTTGAATCTCTTGTGCTACGTCCATGACATCTTAGCATTTTATTCTTTGTATGTATGCAAAATGCTGATACAGGTGTATACAGAAACACGGAATTGTTTCTATGCACAAAAGCTAGTCACACATGCACTCACACACACATGCAGTATTTGTACATACTCCAGTTAAATTTGTTAGTGAGGAAGGGTGATTTGATGACTAAGAGACAGAAGATGGCTGTCAGGTACCTGGATTCTGTACCCAGACTTTGGGTAAGTTACTTAAACGTGCCTCAGTTTCCCCACCTGTAAAATGGGGCTGATAGTAATTACCTACCTCACAGGGGTATTGTGAGGCTAAATTAATTACTGTTTGTTCAGGATCTTCAGAGTGAAATAATTTTGTGAGCATAAATTATTAATAGTTTCACTTTCACTGTTTTACTTGTAATTATTAGTGTTTTTAAAGGTAGTCTGCTGAAACCAGCTGCAATTATGTATAAATGTAAAAAATGCATAATCCAAAAATGTACATCACTTTTTTTTTTTTTTTTTAAAAAAAGGTAATTTTATTTAAAAACTGTTATTAGAACATATTGCTACGTGGTGAACATTGCAACACTGGCTGTGATCTTGCTGTTACACACTAGTATCTTAAACTTACTTTTCTGCAGTGTTATTTGGTCAAAAGCGTTATAATAATGGGTACAGTGATACTTATCAACACTGACATTGAACTTTACCGAAACCGACAAAACTGGTGGTGTATTGGCCTCATTTACATCTTTTGACCTTCTTAAACTTTGATTTATTCTCAATTTCAAAACCAACCTGTACTTTTAACAGCGCTCCAAGCAGTACTGATTTGAAATATTCTAACAGAGCCATCAAAATTTACAACCATCTTTGCTTTTCCTTTTGACATTGGGTGTTTTATATAGCTTTGGAGTGGCCCATCCATACAAAGTGCTCAGAAATGCTCTGAAGATATTTAGGGAAAATTCACACAGATTATAAATTAACTTCTCAAAAATAAAAGCAATATAAACCAATGTATGTTTTTATACCCTGTAGAAGAGAGTGGTGGAAATGGCTGTGAAGAGTTAGAAGGTGCCAGCTGATGATGTTCTCTCCAATTCACGTCCAATTTCTCTGAACTCTTTTAGGATATTCTCATTGATTTGTATCCCTCTTGATCAGCTTTCTGCTTTCAATGACCAGTGTAAGGAGTGAAGTGTTTATTCATATGAAGTAGATGACTTGTTAATTTACTGTCCTCTGCACAGACATAGACAAAGCAGCACTTTGCCATTAGTAGTTCCTAGCGCAAAGCAGATTTCATCTGACATAGTTATGATGGTTAGGTGTGTTTTAGGTCCAATGAGACATCCCTTTAGTTGGAGTACTCTACTACTGTATGCTGTCTCTTTAATAGAGGTCAGTAAAATGGAACTGCAGTGGTTTCCATCCTCCTTACACAAATACATGCTTAAAGAAATGTGGGGTTTTAAAATTATTTTTAAGAAATTAAATACATGCATTTGTTTTTGCAGTAACTTTTTGATGATGAACCAGTGGTTCTGATAAGCTTTGAATTTCTAGTGTTATTTCAAGTCAAATATAGTGTTGCTAAGTTAATAGAATCGGTGGCAATTTCAGTTTTAGATTTTTTCCTATGTTTCCTATAAAACAATGTTTTGTAATTTTTCATTAATGAGGCTTTGGGGGAAAAAGAAAGACTGACATTTTTATTTCATTGTGCAATCCCTGACAGTTGGAATTGTTATTGTATATTGATTGATACCACTGTATTGTTTCCATCTTCATTTTTATTTGAGTTTTAGATGAAAGTAAGTGCACATTTCTCTCAAAATATTGGCTTTCCACCAGAAAGAAATTTATAAGCATCTACCTTTATAAATATTGATTTTTTTTTTTTAGACACAAAATTTTGTTGTGTTTTCTAAGTCCATCCAAAAAGCTGCTTCCTGGTTCATTTTCTCTATTCTAGTCCCAGTTGCTCATTGCTTCTATGACTTTGGGAAATGCCCATCTGTGCACTCTTTAAATTTTCTTTCTTTCCGAAGTCAGCCCTTCTACCCAACTGATCACCTCAGCAGCTCTTCCTCCAAGTCTTTTTGTAACCTTAAGCTGGACGGTGTGCAGAAGGGTTTCTCAATGTCGAGATGGACTAAACCAGCTCATTTCCCAAATCTGAACGGGAATGTCATGTGGACAAAGTTTTTATTTTTCCTTTCTTTTCAAGTATGTTGCATAGAGCAGAGAGGATTATACGTACCATCAGGGAACTAGGGACCTGTAATGGTACTTTAGGGTGATGTGAAGACTATAGAATGCATTTATATTAGAAATGTCTTTTTTTTTTTTTTTTTTTTTTTTTCCCCCAAGGTTGATCCATACAACAAGTTTCATGATTTTTAATATGTGAGCTCTCATTTCTTTAAGTCTTCAGTCCCATTCTTTTTCCTCCTGTTGAATGGAGTAGCATATTACTTAAAATACAAATCATGAATGAAAGAGTTTCACTTTTTCATGTCTTTTTTTTCCTTATGTCAAGCTTGTCAGAATTGTTATTTTCAGCCAGTTTATGTACTGGTAGCAGAGATGGTCTTCTGGAAGACAGTATCGAAGACAAGAAATACTGGAAGGCTTAGAAATACGTACTCTAAAGTCCAATGACAAAGCTGTGTGAACAAAATCCTTATCAAAGAGCTGGTATGGTTTGTATTAAAGTAGATTTTTAATAGTATCTCTAAAAATACATGTTCTTAATTGCTTACTCTTTTCTCTCTCTCTCTCTCCTTCCAGATTGATTTTCTTTTAGCAGCGACATTTACTAGCCCTGAAAAAAGTAGATTCTTTCCTATACACAAGTAATTCTGTTTCAAATTATTTCCTTGCAACACTTGAAAGCATTACACAAACTTGAGCTTTATTGATCGGACTTGATTTCTGCGTTTCTGTAGAATTTGCATTTTTACATTGATTTGTTGCAATACAGTGGACATAAAGCCCTGTTGGGCAGAAATAATACATGCAGCAGTACATGGCGCTACTTAAATAATATGCTTTTGTTGCACATATTTTTAATGGTGTAATGAGTATATTAATCACCAGGAAGACCAGGTGTTCCAAATAACTTTCTTAGTATGTCTTATGTTTCTATGTTATTTGTTGCTAATTTTAGCCAGCTTTTGATACTTATTTAGTTCTTAGTGACAGCATCTGCTCTTGCAGATCAAAGGGCAGGAATTGCCTTATTCTTTTTTTTTTTTTTTTTTTTTTTCACACTGTTTACTTATTAATTAAAGCAGTTTAAAAAGCAAATCTTTCTGAAATGGCGAAGGAGACGATTTTTAATGAGCTCCTATAGGAAAACATCAGACTTGTATCCATACAGTTTTTGAGGCACTCTTGTTATGGATTCTGAGTAGGGCAGGACTATGCAGAAGTGTACACCCCAAGCATCAGTAACTGCATATAGGCAATTTGCAAATGATAAAACTAGTCTAAAGGAGAATATTTTAATACACTACTTATATGTCCCTGATTCACAGAAGGGCACTTAAATGGTTAATAAAATGGTTTAAATTATTACAGAATATCATCATAAACATTGTAAGATACCCAGTTCACTGGCTCCATTTGTTTGTAAATACACTCTCCTCTTGGAGTTTTGATATGCTGAACTCTTCAGAGAAGTCACCTGCATTATTTAATGTTTCCAACTGTTTGCTAAGTAGTTAACACTTCAGAGAAAAACATTTCTGAATTTCCATTCCTTTCTGTTTGTCCTTGTTTTTTCCCTCTTCCTTTTTTTGTACTTTTGTTTCTTTTCATTATTGCTGCTGTTTGTTTCTCTGCCTTGCCTGGCTCCTCCTCCTGATGATATTCTGTGTAGTCAACTTTTTTCTTCCTTGCTTTTTGTTTTGCTTTATGTTCTGGTTTTACCTGTGTTTTTATTTAGATATGCACCCTACTATGTCCTGAGTGATAACAAGAATCATGATCTCTTCCCCAACCCCGTCTCTCCTCTGAGCTCTGCTGTATTATCTGGGTTGATGTAGATCCCCTGTGCTTTGTCTCACGACCTTCCTCACTCATCCTTCATGTTTCTTTTCCACTTTTGATTCTTTTCATCCTTTCACTTTTAATTTTGGCTCTCATTTTCTCTAAATCTTTCTGGAAGTCTTCCCTCTTGCCTTTCCAGGACTTCTCTCAGCTGCTTGTCCCAGAAAGCAAATACTTCTAGTCTGCAATGTAGATGAGTGTTGTACTCCCTGGAAGAATAAGTAACTTCCTCTCTCATCCACGTGTATTTCGACCTTGTTGGTGGTCTGCAGTGGAAAATACATATTTAATTGAGACAGGTATGCCCATTATCTCCCAAATGCCTCCTTCTGCCTCATTTTGGATTATGGGGATGAGACATGGTGTTTGCATGAGTTTCCTGGAGGACAGCAAGGGCTGGCTTGCTTTGCTAGTCCTTCAATCTGGCACTTATAGAATTGCAGCAAGGTCGGGCAGAGACACCTTGCTAGACGATTGGGCTGCATTTGTATTTCAATATGGGAAATACTGAGGCCAAATCATAGCCTTTTAGATAAATTGTTACAACCTGGAGCTGAAGAATAGGTGAGGTAAAGAGGATCCGTTCTTAACAGAGGAGCAGGACCAGGGATCATTCCTCTTGGGAGCCATTTGACTTACCCGGTTTGTGGGAAGGGTCTAAATGCAATCTTTCCTAGAGGCAGAGGCAAATGGCTTGCTTTCAAGTTCCATAAAAATAAAAGTTTAAGTAAAATCACCAGATAGCTTTGGCAGAATCTTCTTGTTGGAGGAGTTTGGAGAAGTTGATGGGAATAAGGTAACTGAAAATCTCAGCGGTATTGTTGAAGGGTTGAGCATCTGTCAGAGAGGGAGTGTATGTGAGAGAGGGAAGCACGAGACTAAACATGGCAAGGAAGAACAGGGAGAAAGTGTTACCAGTGTCTATGGTTTTGCCACAAGTTGTTGATTTTGTTTTGCTTAAGCCCTGGACTTGACTTTAATTCATCATGGCAATAATTTTCAGTTTTGTTGGTTGCATACAGAGACTTTAAACCATGAGTCTAAACTGACACTACATCAGGAGCATGCAAAATTATCAGCATTTCTACCTATAATTTAAGAGGGATCTGACTCACAGCAACATCCCACTTGAGGTGCATGGAAAAGAGGTTTGCTTCCCAGGAATCAGGATGCATGTATGTGTGCTCCAGAGGCAGCTCCAATGTAGGTTTATTTCTGAGGTGATTGTAGGGCATTTCCTAACGGTGTTCCTCCTTAGCACAGCACTGAGGATGCAAGGAAGAATTATTTTATAGGGTATGTATCTTGGATTTATACTGCTTAAATATAGTTTGCTAAAATCCCTCTATGAGCTGTAATTTTATAATGTTTAGAGAGGATGAATGGAGTTGGTATAGTATTCCTGAGGGTAAACACCAGCCACTGGAGTTTACTGAACACGTGACTAGAAATGTTTATTTTAGGAACACAGAGTTCCTTCATTTCATATGCACACTAGGCATTTGAGTACAGGTCCTTTTTTTTTATTTGTCACTGACAAGCTATGATTTATTTCCTCATGGGTATAAGTCATGGGCTGCACTTGCTGCAGTGCAGAAGCCTCTGGAGGGAAAATGTTATCAAATGGAGAAGTATACTTGAATTCTCCTTTGTTGATCCCAGTCTCTTCTGAGTTGCTTTTCCCTGATTGTAGTTCTGCCAGTAAGGTGGGTTGGTGTCAAAAGATGATTAACACATTTTTATCCTCTTGTGTGTGGCTGAGAGAAAAATAAAAGAAAAATTTTGCAGATGAATAGCAGATTGGAAGAGGTGGGGCACTTGATCAACTGACAGGCTGCTTTGGGAAGCTTCCACCTGCTTATTTTTACGAATATGTACAGCTACTCTGATTTACCTTTCCACTAACCATAGATAGGTTTCTTTGCAAAGGGGAGGTGGTTCTAAAGAATATCACACTAGTGCATTGCAAGTGTGGTTTTAGGAGACATCAGCTATCCACCATTCCTCACCTAGGTGAAATTATCATAGATCATTGATCTGTATGAAGCTGCACTAGGAATATCAATTCACCCTGGATTAAGTATTGAAGAAAGATTTGGAGAGGCAATGAGAATTGGAATGACAGAATATTCCATTTTCAGAGTAACGGATGAATACTGCCATGTTTACAATGTATCTGTGGCTGTTTCAGCACAGTTGGGTCCAAAATCTCTCATTCCAGCTCAGACAGATAAAGCATATAGATTACCCATGTGAAAAAAAAAGGAGAAGAAATCGGTAATTAAACCAAGCCCAAATTTTTTTTTTTTTTTTTTTTTTTTTTTTTTTTTTTTTTCATACTTCTTGTGAAGATTCACAAAGTATTTCTCCTGTTGTTCATGTGGAACATTATTTATTTGCCACTGCAGGGCCAAATTCTACCCTAATTTATGACCATGCAGTTCCACAGACTTTGTCAATTCAGCTTTGTGTTATGGAAGAAAGGTGCTCACCCATGAATCTGAAATGCAGCCGCAGGCTGAAATCACTGGTCATCTCCCTGCGTCTGTACTCACAGAGGTGACCAGCTGATTTTCCCCTGTAATTCCCGTGGCTAACACGAGAGTACATCGGCTACTGTAGGCTAAATACCACCAAGGTAGAACTTAGTTTTTGAACTACTTGCAACTGCTTTTCCAGAAAGCATTCAATGATCAGCAAATGCTTAACACTGTGTTTCTAGTTGGATTTCTGAAAAAGGAGCCCTTCCAATCCATGTAGAAGCTCTTAGTGGTCATCAGTATGCTGTAGTCCATGCCTTTAACATACCTGGCTATGCAGTCCTCTCCTTCTGCCTTTGCACATTCTAGTATTTGTGAAAACGGCACATGCCTTTTCCTAATTTTGTTTCAGGAGACCTTGACTTTGAGCAGGTTTCTTTGTATACAGTATCAGGGCTCAAG